GTACTCCTACAGTGTAGTTCAGGCAAGGACTGGGGGCCCATGCCTGGGCTTAAATGAGGTCCTGAGCCCTGGGCTGGGGTTGTAGATGGAAGTGCCAGGTGAGATTAAGGCCCTTAAGGCATTTTAGGGCCCTGACAAGACCAGATGTGTTAAGCTGTGTCAGACATGAGCTGCACTGAAGTCCATAGACTCTTTGGTACCAAGTCCTCCACTTGTCATTTTAGCTTAAACCTCATGGAGACAGAACTGGTTGAGGGCCTGGTTGTGTGAGACCTTAATGAACAGGGTACAGTGGTTTGGAGTTTGCCTCCTCCACACCACAGGGCAGAGCTCTGCTCCCCAGTTCATTCTCCCTGCGGGGCAGCAGCTTCAGGTATGGAGCTGAGTGGGAGGTGGTGGTGCAGTCAAAGGAGAGTACTAAGAGACAAGACCTTTAGATCTCACCTGTGAGCAATGGCATGAGGTCATCAAACCATGCCACCTCCATCTGCCTCCATGTCCTTCTCTGCACCACCGTGATGAGGACACTCACCACAGTGATGATTAACTGCTCTGTAATGGGATGACACCAGGCAGAAGGAACAGCATAGGAAAACACAACCAATGACCATGTTTTCTAGAGGTTTTCCAGGACCACCCAACATGTGATGGGATCCTGGAACTGACTTCATTATTGATGCCAAGAGGGGGTTGAGAGGTTGCATATGTAAGAAATTCTGAAAGCTGCCAAAAAAAAAAAAAAAAAGAAATAAATAAAAAAGAATAAAAAATTGAAGGGAAAAAAAAAAAACCACAACAACAACAAAACAAACAAACAAACAAACAAAACAAACAAAGAAACAAAAACAAAACCAAAAACAAAACAAAACAAAAAAACCAAACCAAACCAAACCAAAACAAAACAAAAAAACAAGGAAGAGGATTGTGGATTGGATATAGGTCTTTTATTGCTGGTGTTTGGCCAGACTTTTACTTCTAGGAGTCAGGATGAAATCTTTACAGAGACCAGATGAACCCCATCAGCATCCTGTTGGCCTTACTCAGTCTTCTGTTGAGTTGAGGCTGCTGCTCCCAGTCAGTAATAAGGCAGTGAACTTGGTAGGCTTAAAACTGATCTGATCTTACTAGTCTGTACTCCCTATGAAAACAAAGCCTCCATGGCACCACATGCCCTGTTACATGAGCTTATTAAATATGTCCTGGAGCACAGTCACAGCCCTATGGTCACATTTCTGCGTATGACATCTGTGTGCCTTCACATTGCACTGCAGCAGCTAAACAAAGTGCCATTGAATTGCGCACCCGCCGCCTCCTTGCTTTATCAAAGCACCTGGGAAAGCTGTTTCTGCTTTTCAGCTGCTTCACCGGTCTGTAGCTTGTGCTGCACAGGTACCAGAGAAATTGCCAGGTGTCATGGCATAACACCTCCCTGTGGGATTGCCAAGGATTCACTAAAATTTGCTTTGGGCCAGGTTGTCCAGCTGCTAAAAAATAATATGTTGCTGAGACAGGGGTGTAAATTCAGATGGTCAAACCCTGCCATACTCTGCCTTTTCTGAGTATCACCCTTGAGCCCCTGTAATCTAGCCACTAAAGCAGTAGTGTCTCTTATTTCCAGTGACTTTTATGGTGAGGAGGTGATTTGTTTGCTCTGCGAACAAAGGTAGGAGCCATCTGCTGAGTGTTTGCCTGTGGTCGGACGTCACAGGCGGGCTTCTGAGAACACCCCCAAAGTAACAGCTCATCCGCTAGATCTGGACTTGTGTAACTGTGGCGCGATGAGCACTATTCTTAGGGACAGCATTTTGGTGGAGTCACACCTCCAGGAGGTGTGAATCTAGCCCCTGAAAAGAGCAGATGAGAATAATCCCTCACCCACAGACAAACGTTGCTCTTGTGTCAAGCTTCGCATCTGGAGAGCTTGAGGCTGGCGGTGGGTAACCACGCTTGAGCCTATTCATTTAGGACACAGGCACATGCAGGAGCTGCCCACGGTCAACCAGAAGCCTAGGGCAAATCTGAGAGTAAGTGTAAAGCTCCCAATTCCCATCTTTGTGCTTGGACCATAGAACTCCTTTTCTTAGATGTTTGGTTTTTATAAATCCATAGGAGAACCAGAAGTTCTAGTAACGCCTCTTAATACTTAAATTGCTGCTTCAAAGATACTTCTATATGGGAGTCTCCCTCACTGAAGGCAGAGCATGGAGGAGGTAAGGCAGATGATTTGTTAGAGGCCTTGCTTACAAAATGATGGCTGTGTTTGGACAGTTTAACACACTGCGGTGCTGCAGGTTCCCATAACACCCCTCCCACCCCAGAGTCCGATTCTGGTACAGCTCTAAGGAGTGACAGGCTGTGATGAGGTTAAGCATCATGGCGTAGAATAAGATCAAGAGCAGAGGCCAGCTGAGATTTTCCTGTAGTGAATCAAGAGCCTGAGATGACAAAGCATGCAGCCCTGGAGTATTACATGAAAACATAAATGGTATCTTACACAGACCTTCAACTGTATCTGTGATGTGGGAATGCAGAGCTTTGAATGGGAAAGGCTGACGTTTTCCCTAGTTTGTTTTTATCATCTAATATTGACATTCCTTTAGCCCCTGAGGGCTATGAACAAGTTACTTGTTGAATTAGAAATCTTCATAGTGATTATGAGGAATTATTTTTTTCTAGTGCTTAGTTTTAATTATAGATTCTAGAATAACAAGAACATCCACTATAACACTCCCTGTCCTTACCCTGAGGTCTGTAGTGTCCCAGTGTCCCAAAAGGCAGTCTGTGGCAAAAAATATCACAATCCTGAACTACTGTGGAGAAAATACTGGATGTCCAGATTCCTGCAGTTAAGCATTTGGAAGCTGTTATGTCTGGGGTTTTTACCATGCCTAATGGCAATAGGAAACAAAATGAATGGCTCTGGTTCATTCAGTGGTTTTCCTGACGTAATTAATGGACAGAAATAGAAGGCAGGAATTGAAATAAACCACTCCCATTCTTTTCTTATTCCCCTCTGAGATTTTTGCAGGCAAAGATCTGTAAACTTTATGTGAGTGTTTACTGAGTAGTTTTTCCCATGTTGTATGTGACCCTCTGAATTCTGTTGACGCACAAAGGTCAGGTCCCCTGTACTTGCTTTGTCTTGCAGCTACTGTCTTCTCTTTTTTAAAGTAAGTGGCCATGATATTTTTCCTCAGATTAGTGGACAGGGAGCATTTTATATCCAGTTTTTATTAAAAAATCTGCCAGACTCTGTGTCTGGTGGACCCAGACTTGTCAAGCAATTTAGGTCTCTGTACGCTGGGTTTGCAGAGGATGTTTCTATTCCATTGCTTCTGTTTTAGCAGTGTCCATGGAGCCTTGTGTGCAGTACATATCCCGTGGTGAAGAATTTTGAAATAAAGCAAATTTAACTATGTGTCATGACATTTAGATCACAGACAGAGTTAACCACACCCGGAGATATCTACATGATGCCAAGAGACAGGAAATATTGTTTATATGATGATCAGTGATAAACATCTTTTCTTGCTGGAATGTGATCAGCAGAAGGATTTGGCTTGCTCTTCCATGAAGGGTGTTTCCATCTCAACTCTTTTAGAGACTTATTCACTGGCTTGTACAAGGGATGAAACATGAGGTTAATGCTGAGGAATGTTGCCGTACTTGGTGTCTGGGCATAGCAAAATCCAGTAACTGCCTAAAATGGAATAGCTTCCCCCATGCCCACCTTACTGTGGTAATCTTAAATAATTGATTTAATGATGAACACATGCTGATGTGTGTCAGTTTAGATGTCAAGATCCTGGATTAATGCATGAATTGGAAGTGGCCTGTGATTCACACTTAGTAGCTCCTGTCCTCCCACCAGCTTAGCAATATCTAAAGGCTGTTAAAATGAAACAATCACCATTTTCTCTTTTGTTGAACCAGTAAATCTGTTACTGAATGAAGGTGCACTCTGTACTATCTGCCTCCTTGTGCTGTCACACCTTAGGTTCCCTGAGAGGGGGTTAATAAGCGTCTTCTGGAGAGCTTCTAGGGGGGAAATTTTAGATGTGCTGGCAACAGATGGCATACATGCTTCCAGGATTAAACCTGGATGAGTGCTTGATAAACTCTATATGAAAAGAAAGTCTAGCATACTTAAAAACTGAAGGGGCAACCCAAGCTGGTAGGCTCAGTATGACGGGTTGAACCCATCAAGTGGCAAGAATTGGACCAGAGTGATCTGATCTACTGAGAAGACAATACCCAGTTCTGTAATCTCGATCTTAGGTCTTTGTCTGGTTTGAAGAAGACAGATAGGGGAGCAGCCATTGCTTGTGGCTGGAGGGGCCATCTGCAGTTAGAAAAGGAAACTGGAAATAGGGAACAAAACTGCAACTCACTTACTGAAATGGTGAGTTCTTGTATTAGTGGCTGTTTGCACAACACCACATTCAAGTGATCTTTGTGGAATAGAAACAAGCCACCTCTTCAAGATGCTGAGTTGAGAGGCTGCTGAATCAGCTGAAAATAATAATGTCATGTTCCGCTCCTGGGAGGACCCGGGTTTGTCCAGCCCAATGGTGCCTCAAAATCTTGGACAAATTATAGATAATAGACCTAACGTGTTTTCTAACACTGCTTTATAGATGCTACCATAAAACGTGTACCAGTGTTATGGTTACAGTTTTTGATTCTATTTGTGCATTGTGTAAGTAGGAAGACTATTAATAAAGGGAAGATGCATCTCTGTTTGTGATCAGCCATATGTACCTGTATTTACCTGAAGTTGTGCTGGTATAAACTGATCATGTTTTCACCAATTTCAAGAGGAATTCTGTCTGTTTATCCAGGCTCAGCATGATTGTGTGGGGGAAAAGGAAATGGGTTTTGAGCTGCTGTTGGAAACAATGCTATTGCTAAATATAAGCAAGTAAAAACACAGTTGAAATGGGTTGTGCTGTAATTTTGTTTCCTGTTTTACCAATCCTATTTTCATTTTTTCCCTACAGAACAATTCAATTAAAACATCGAAATACAACTTCTTCACTTTCCTGCCTCTCAACCTGTTTGAACAGTTTCAGCGAATAGCCAATGCTTACTTTCTTTTCTTGCTGATCTTGCAGGTATGAGTTCACTGTGCTGCTTCTAGCAGATTGCATTGTCTGTTATCAGACGGTCTGTGTATTGATAGTTGTAATAATGTGCAAGCTATATCCTTGTTATGAATTAGGGTCTTAGTAAAACCTTAAAATAGATAGAAAGCAGATGAGAAAAAAAGCAATTTCTTCTCTTACCTTTGGATATGAGGGTTTGAACTAAATGAAAGAAAAAAATTAATTAAAGTTTTCAACAAATTGTGTAACTTTTTCATGCCCTGTCCTACTACCCCTACTACAGGAGAGTGCTCTTGGCTGTTCTCAGATTTGCAGTACTTATTCCTCCTGTGGTAAAAAAGGAAGTTGTCTCTTATGCATGGATTTAAAGGCAAATTCCATTGGCAGTCTCAAAGGAAATGGCAAGCAGGAGAACAAATTTGTAACCTGTACTATTACACTGGGAAAAGAGGGGTAAACATCAGGAAGGCTCAAGGTTGGATCTAGTTTGCATAAAGCTGAATATTGCTGCTCCCTCCTCAGCAGGGTGAGGAAGGTGTGTAATATGGAGCATGTCAGACATGGACAACACTATTGAACCCTGTGGTTTATAACAGCATTGGGCTACACTTTGGCCATCGCTGTTGGTAATACTACTTTGCCTGAAAGCTGAACAAGGCAGGGAAATGGATATCAGGACTTGTTCCTCCTTGCACTTTGCTAAAATATGGATAAATGCAGTCTACTTTGCTGTTGCTGAGTCATACTGGAATACGTTATGAAAAAATGGGTATAATTTTGATTATGTTTCAAGTATGGTATTTTAAATTTGACTGTTTCAGTGCATGCAAGTTTGCAAAATTACCTTTTTCAAGTGCTCTTTTCCAATTTCAGCTGAAAAAAAGCATAGGCAAAATTTTATTAAGCCTGTAGCAAACTACACACAATCTTCTTTGCTTATTTACAGGGAATGCATTTGGGAAATTTCAGCCCATGTATATTTTTCAAGAAACTAGTGAAAGTGCCTTTTCAGCTAAGCAGACAGCACTGTTCCTGTGTTGTTGTACTGCTCTCTAGCTGTTTGTCTATCAGATTCATAGTATTTCAAACTGTTTGCCTTAAATTATTCCACTATGTCTTTTGCTGAACCATCTATGAGCAACTGTGTATAAAAGCATACCTATTTTTCTTCTACCAGCATGAAGGTAGGCTGAAGAGGGCAGCCATTAGCTTTTTATATTTACATATTCCTGCATCTAATTTTTTTTCCCTCTTCTGACCACTCACTCCATCCCTGGAGTGCTGGGTGTATCTCTTCCTGCATCAGGAGTGGATGTGATGGGTAGGCTGTGGGCACTCTGCCTCCCCATTCCTTTGGCAAAGCCCAGGATGACATGCATATTCCCAGTTAGGTGAGAAGGTGGAAATTACATGTCTCTGTAGCCTCCACAGCTGAGCAGGGCTATGCTTGCCTCGAAAAATCATTCCTCCTGGCTGGATTTGGTGGTGCCTGTAGATTCTGGGTTGTGACAGTGCAGTGGAATGAGCAATCCCAAAGAGCAGCTCTCCATCCTTAAACAGCTGCTTTCATGGCATAAATGTCAACTTCACAATACACATGGAGTTGACACTGTCAGCCGGATGGACACAGAGATGCTGGTATCACATTGCTTCCATCATTAGTGCTGTTCTTCTACAGGGTGGGGAGAACTATGCTGGGGTAAGACATCCATCTCTGCATCACTGGAAGCATGATGAGTCACTTTCAACTCTTGGGTCCTCTCACTATTAAAGATGTGGGAAACAAAAATGGCTCTGTTAATCTTGGGAGAGGAAGGTCAGCCCTGTCAACAGCTGTGTGTTGTTTATTGATATGAAGTTTACTTCGGCAAAATGTGAAGAGTTACTGAAACAAAAAATAGAAGTATTTGAAAGCTCTGAACAGCAGGCCTTGCTCAGATAGCCTGGGGTCCCTGACAGCAGGTTCGCCCGTGTCAGTGCCTCCAGAAAAATACACTGGGAACTTCGCAATCCTAATGTTACAAACAACAAGAAAGAGCAACCCACTGAACTCCCTGACAGCTCCGTTTTTATATCCTAAATTACAGCTTGTTTTGTAAGCAAAGCATGGGTTCTCTGGCTGTCCCACCTTTGTGGGGCAACATATAAGTGATAGAGCTGCATTTCTGTCTCTATTCTGTATTCAGATATCACAGAAAAATGTTATCTGCAGCTTCCACAGAAAACAGTTGTTCATTTCCATCTGTTTGATGAACTGGCAGGAAATTTCTCAACAGATCTTTTCTTCCTACAGTTGATTCCTCAGATTTCCTCACTGGCCTGGTTTACAACGGTGGTGCCCCTAGTGCTGGTGCTGGCTGTATCCGGAGTCAAGGATGCCATCGATGATTTTGTAAGATCTGTACTGCTGACCTGTACTTTGGAATTTGCCTGTTATTCTTCAGCACGATAAATAAAGCAAACCACTTAAAACAAACACATCCAGTGGCAGGCAGTTGGAGAACTGGTCTGTGGCCAAGATGGGGTCTAAGACTAGTATTTCCAAATTGCTGAGCAGCCCAGAAGCTTCACTGACTTTCTCTGAAACTGCTCAGCATGTCTCAAAATGTGGTCACCAATAGATATGTCTGGACATACGGACAGAAGTCTGTTCTTAGGCTTCCACTTTGGAGAACTCATCCTCTGTCATTTAGCTGCAATGTAGGTAGAAAAAACATTTAATAGGAAGTAACCATACAGTCTGTGTGTGATTTTTGAAACTTGCTCAGCTTTGGCAGAAGTCTGCTTATATCAGAGCTAACGATCAAAATCCCATTGACTTCACAGGGTGACATTAGAGCTGAGTTTAGCATCTGATTTTCCCTCATTATTAAATAATTTTGATGCTCTATGGAGACTTGGTGAAACTCTCCACGTAGGCAGATGAGAGGTGGAGAGGTGCTCTCCCAGGGACCAATGCCAGAATATCTGTGGCCACTTTCCGTATCAGAGCAGCGGATTGGATTTCTCTGGGTGCTTAGCTTACAAAACTGTGACAGTCAGAACCAACACCAGTTGAGTCAGGACTGCACTAAGTGATGTATAAGGTTCTACCCTCCTTCCCTCCCAGAGCAGGCCCTGTGTTCCTTGTTGCTCTTCACAGCCCATTATGCCCTATGTTGCCAGTATAAACATGGACTTGACTATGACTCAGTTGTGACTCTAATCTGGCTGACCCATTCAGCCATCTGGGTGAAAACCTAAAACATTAATGAACTGCCTACAGCTCTTGTGTGCTTGTTTTCCTGGAAATACCTTTTAATGTACTGATCAAATTTTCAGAATCGACACAGAAGTGACAAACATGTCAACAACCGCCCAGTCCAGGTCCTGATCAATGGCATGTAAGTCCTTTTTCTTTTGCTGTAATTTTGACCAGGAAGAGCATTTCATTTATAATATTTTTTTTTTTCTGTGTGATTCCCAAGGATCATTAAACAATTTAAAATTGAATTGGCTTTCGCACTACTAGTTCACCAGTGCAGTTCTGTACTATGTGTCTGATTAATGAACCCAAGACACAGGACCACAATCAGTACAGACATTATGGCTGTGACCTTACACTGACAAAAAGTAAACTCTTTCTGTTTCTGGGTATATATATATTTAAATAAGTGATATTTTGAGAGTATTGTATTATTTTATGCCTTACCCTAGAAGTGATAAGAAAGGTTATCTTCCCATGTCCATTTATGTTCATAGCATTTATTTCTGCATTAAGCAAAACTAAGCATTATCAACAAGTTATTTAAAATTAAGAAGCAGGAATAGCTTTCTCATACATGTCATAATACTTTGAGTGTGTATAGCACTTCTGAGTTAGATATACTTCAAACATTTCATCTGTGTGCTTTGGACATTGTACGGCTAGCACTGTACTTTCCTGCAGAAAAAATAGCAGTCTTTGGCTTTTGTGGCAGACAGATGTGCTGTTTACTTGCGGCTTCATGGAGTCAAACTGTGCAGAGGACACAGCTGTAGGCAGCTGTGAAGTCTCTGGTGACTTTTTTTTCCATACTATAGATAGCCGTATGTTGTGTAAACTCCAACAGATGATCAAATAGTTAAAAATATAACTGGAAACTGAAGAATAGGAACATACTTTTTGAGCTTTCTGCTAAGTAAACGAGTTTCTTCGTTTACTGTGTATTAGTTACTGTGTCTAGGAAACATACATTGAAATAGAAATTTTCTAATATTTTGCCTTTGTTCAAAAACTGGAAACCCATAGGTCCTGCCTAACTCCAACGAAAACTGAAAAACCAAGGCTGAGCCGAACTCAAGCTTATTATTTTGATATAACTCTTGATATTTCTCACATCTAGCTTTTGCGTATACAGCTATCATGCCTTGGTTACGTTGGTGCTTGCTGTTTCACTGGCCTGAACATCTTGCTCAGTGCTGTGAACGCCGTGGCAGACATGGGTACATGCACAGCCAAAGCACCTGCACTGACCTTCCAGACAGCCAGGCCCACACAGAACCAGAGCTGCTGCTCTGGCCCTAAATACCCCGCAGGAAAACACAACTGGCAATTTTCTCAGGTGTTTGGGAAGTCTGTTAAACAAAGTAGAGTTTTTTTCTGAGACAATGTGGCCCTTTAGGAGAAGGACGTAGTCAGTCCAGACCAAAGGACAGTGCACATGGACTGTGCTGCTGTTGTGGAGACTGGTCTCAACCCTACACGGGTCACCCCATCACTGTTACTGGTTTTTTTTTGTATTGTGGTGGTCCCTTAGCTTAGTATGGATTTGGCAACATCATGGCAGTCTCTGCTCCATCTTACCAACAGCCCAAGTCCTGATGGCACCTAGAGTGTGACTTCAGGAGCAGAGCCAAGTATCCTGCTTTCCCCAGTGGTGTTTGCTTTATGTGCCTACTTACTAGGAGTTTTCTTGCAGGTTAAAGGATGAAAAATGGATGAATGTCCAAGTGGGGGATATAATAAAACTAGAAAACAACAACTTTGTGACGGTGAGTAAAGTTTCTCTCCATCCTGCTCACATTCAGTCCTTGTAATTACTCTTATCACTCGCAAGCAAATGAGTCATTAGTGATGATAACTGCCTCGGAGACCTTCGGTGTGCAGAAACAACAAGTAGCATTGTGGTGCCATGCCCTATGGCCATGTGAACTCACACCAAGTCTGTCTGTCCATGTTCAGGCCGATCTACTGTTACTGTCGAGCAGCGAGCCGCACAGCCTGACATACATCGAGACGGCTGAACTGGATGGGTAAGTGAGCCTGGCCTTCGGGTGCAATCACCGCTGACACTGGAAAGCCAGGTCTTCTCTGGTGACCCTGGGTGCTGCAGCCTCACCTGCAGTAGCTTTTGTAGCACGAGTTTCCTAATACATGGAATAAGCTTTGGGTAGATACTTTGAAAATAACATCTTCTGATGGATAGTTTTGCCTCTTTCAGTGCAAAAGTCACGTGAAGAGGGATCTTTTCTTTTTAGTGACAGTTCTTCTAACACTGAGCATTAGTTTGAAATGTGTTCTTGCACTATCCCAGGTCACTGGCAGAAACCTTCTGTTACTTGTGTCTCCCTTGGTCTTTTCTTTTAGCCAGATTATCTGGGTGACATAATCACAATGAATAACTCTGGTAGTGTCCTTTGGACCGCTATACCATAATATTAACACATGCACACTGCAAACACTTCCAAATGTTGCTCACTTCAGAGCACAGCTGACCACAAGTCAGAGGACTGCAACTAATTTGTATTAATTGGAATAAACTTGCTCTGACCTCATCTTTATGACACAATTGGCGTTACCTTTTCTGCATTGACTGGAGCTAGCATCAGCTTGAAGGACTAAGCAAGAGAGATCAAGAAATTATGTCTCTTCCAATACCCTTCAGACAGCCCTCTGGACTTTTCTCTGTTTGATTTCTGCTGACAGTGAGCTTGTAGTTTCTGTACGTGCAAGTGCCAGGAGGCCCTGAACAAATGCAGTGTTTTTTTGACATTGCATTTCAAAGTCCCCAGCTAGGTAGTTCCAGGACTTGAATACTCTTCAGGACCAGAACACCACGGGAGAAGATCCAGAGCTGTCCTATATGCTCAGATATTTCTGGGTTCAGTGTGGTATGAGTGGCAGGATAGACAGTGAGCTGCTGGGGGAGCTCAGATGCCTGGTAGCGCACTTTGTAGCAAAAATAAGAAGACAAAGACACCTCACTGTCTTTGGTACCATGGTGTCATGTCCAGAATTCCTCTGGCTTTCCAGTCTTTGCAACTGAAAGAGACATAAGCATCCTTTTTCCAGGTAAAAAAGGCCAATAATGGCACAGTCCATCAGACGTCCAAGGAAGAAGACTGTCCCCAAGAACAGAAGTGACTTTCAGGGAGAGCTTTCAGTTCACACTGGACTTTCAGTTCATGTTTTTGTCTACGTTATTCATTGCAGTGAAACAAACCTGAAGGTGAAGCAGGCACTGACAGTCACTGCGGAGCTTGGAGAAGATCTTCAGAAACTGACAGAGTTCAATGGTGAGTCTGCATGTAAAATTCACTTTATAGGGGATTTGCCCAAACACCAGACTCTGAAGAGTGCCTGGGAGTCTTCCTCCCCGGCTCTCCTGCTCCCTGCTAGGGCTCCTCTGGAGCAGAATGGACACCCTGCAGTCTGTATGACAGATACAAACAGTGTCCACAGGGAAAGAGATCCACCTTCACTTGCAGGACGTGGTGCCATGCATGGCTGTAACCCGAAACTGCATTGGTGGCAATTCTTCTTCTGGTGGCATGCTTTTCTTTAGCATCTGTCTGTACGTGTTGACACTGCCACCTCGAACTTCAGTACAAGAGTTCGTGTAATTGCACAGTGGAAACTGTTTCCCCAGAACTGCGTGCTTAGTTCTGATCTTGAAATACTTGCACATTGCACTTTTACATTGATGCAGCAGTGCTGATGAGATTATGTTTAGCTTCTGAGCAGCGGTGATTTCCAGACACCGTGCAGACCTGAGCAACAACTGTGCACACAGGACATGTGGCCACTTCCCAGCCTGAAGCCTTGCCCTGCCAGCATTTATCTCCTCTCTCAATGCCTCAATAAAGACTGCATACTAAGATATTTAAAGACAAGCAGTGCAGATGTGGGTAACAGGCAACGTGTCCTTTCTTAGCACTGTTTTGTATATCAAATATAGGGTAGAAGAATAGAATAGAATAGAATAGAATAGAATAGAATAGAATAGAATAGAATAGAATAGAATAGAATAGAATAGAATAGAATAGAATAGAATAGAATAGAATAGAATAGAATAGAATAGAATAGAATAGAATAGAATAGAATAGAATAGAATAGAATAATTTCAGCTGGAAGGGACCTGCAGTGATCATCTAGTCCAATTGTCTGACCACTTCAGGGCAGACCAAAAGTTAAAGCATGATATTTAGGGCATTGTCCAAGTGCCTCTTAAACACTGACAGGCCTGGGGCATCGACCGCCTCTCTAGAAAGCCTGTGACAGTGTTTGACCACCCTCTCAATAAAAAAAATGCTTCCTAATTTCCAGCCTAAACCTCCCCTGATGCAGCTTTGAACCATTCCCACACATCCTGTCACTGGATCCGAGGGAATATATAGCAGCACATACACAGAAATGAGCCCGAGCTGTCAAACCCAGAATTCTCCATGCTCAAACATCATCTGTCTGCAGAGGGAGGATGGAGGAACAGACCAAGTGGTGTTAGTCATGCTCTGCAGTGCCCTGCTGGCCTTGGTACGAGGACAGGATTATGGGAAGAGTCAGTATGGAAAGGGGTGGAGTGAGTGCTGCTGTCCTTGGAACATCTCAAGGACTGCAGGCTCTCAGGAAATATTTTTAGACAAAGAGGAAAAATAATTTTTAAAAAAATTTATCTTCAAACTAAATAGAGAATTAGTATAACTCGGCTGGTCTCTGGTAGAGTCATCCAAAGACATGTGGTATGCTATTGCTTTCTACAATGAGCTTCTGAGAAATAAAGTGTGTGATCTCAGCTGAGTGTCAGCTCAGTACATCAGGATTTCTCAGAAGTGATAGCTGAGGTCCTGAGAGTTTTAGGCCTTGAGTAATATGTTTTTACAGGTGCAGTTAGATGCTTTATGTTACTAGTCAGAATGGCATGGCTTCGTTCTTTTCCTGAAGAGGCTTCAGTGTGTATCAACTTGTAAGCAGAATTTAAAATAATTTTCCAAGCATTTTCTGTGTAATGCTTATCTAAGGATACTGCATTATTGAAACTGGATAATAAAAAAAAATGTTTCAAAATATTTTTGAAAATTAAAATGTTTTTAATCAAGTATTTATTTATTCTTTAAATCTCTATTTTAGTTATATTGTAAATATGACTGGCCTCTTTGCAATACTTAAAATGAATAAAATGTTTCCCAGGATGATTTATATTTGGCAGAGTGCTGGGAAGAGTGCCTGGAATCAGACCCAACCTTGCATTTCCCCAGCAAACCTCTGCAGAAGTATTTAAATATTTATGTAACTCTTTATCTAATTACTTCTTAAGACAGGAAGAGAGGAAAGGGTTGAGCAGCTAATACAGGCACTCAATGGAATGCTTAATGTGAGTTACCATGTTTGCTGACATTGAGATGGTTCAGATAAGGAAGATGCTTGCAAAACACTGAACTTTTTTGTTTGATTTGGGGAACAGGGAGATGAGAAAGGAAACAATACTTTTCGGTTACCTACTACTTATCACGTGTAGACTTGGCAGTATTTAACTCTTACAGGTGCAATGCATTCAGGTATCATCTTGCTGTTAATGGGAGAAGGAGACAGGAGGCTCAGTGCCTCGCTGAGGTATCTAGCTGCGGAGTTCCTGGGCTCAGAGCAGGTATATTGAGTGAATCTCTAAAGCTTCTCACTTTTTATGATCTAATTTGGATGAATCTCTTCTGATCTCAAAAATCATCATATCAGTAACCTGGACCCACCTGCTTACTGGATAGCAGATGCGGATGCTGACGTGCAAGGTACTCACGTGAGCACTGTCCCACAGCTGGCATGAGGAGGGGCAAGGTCTTCCTGGTGGGGGATCATGCCCGGGGTCTCGTTCACTGGAGTCTCATTGTGCTGTGTTTCAGGTTGCACTGCACTGCACCTCTGTTTTCTTTGTGCTTCCCAAGGGGTTGCAAGGGCTGCAGTGAGACAGGTCTGGTTACTGTAGACTTCCAGAAATGATGGAGTACAGGTCTGATTGTTCTTGGATTAACTAGATGATAAAATAGAAGATCAGTTGTTAGTAAGAGCTCTGATGTCACATATATCATGGAACTTCCTAATCACTTCATCTTTCAAGTTTGATGTTTTGTCTGACCTAGAGTAGAGCTTCTTTTCTATGAAAAGAACATCCATTCCTGATTTTAAAATTTGCAGTGGTGGAGACTACTGCAGTACTTTAAGCTGTACTTTTCTTCTTGACTTCTCTGGATTTTGATTCCAGTCTCTTGAGCTTGGTGTGTTTTGTCTGAGAACAGCTAGAAGAGCTGTGTTCTATGAAAACGTAGATATTTGCAGCCTGTGATCAAAATAACTTTAATGTTCTTGCTGATTAACTGAACAGACTGAACACCTGGATTCCCTGTCAGCAAGTCATATTTGTATTTTCCAGTTCTTTTCAATATACCCCCAGGGCTCTGCTTTGAATCTTTAGATGTCAGGTGCAAATGTTAATTTAAATAATAATAATTTTTATACTTAAGTATCTGTTTAGAATTTTGTGTAAACATGTTTTAATACAATAAATAAAAAAGCGTGGAAATAGAAATAAGCTCTCCAATTACTTAGTGTTAGCTGTATGGCCAAAGAAGGTAGCATTAACTTTTTTCATGTGCCATTGGGACTTAAGTTATAAAACAGATGAAATTAAAAAACAGTGAACAAAGGCACCTCAAATAATTACTCTTTTGCCACCTTCAGGCTATGATTTTTCTTGCTTCGGCTCCTACAGTTTGAAAGAAAATGGAGTAGGAATTATGTGAGGTCAGCACTTTTAGCTAAAGTTATCCACTGACATCCTACCACTACTAACTTGCTGTGAAAGAATAAAAGTATGTTGCTGGTTCAACATTTCTTCTCACCCACACAAAAGCTGTGGAAACTTTGTTTTGTACTCTATCAGTAAAAAATTGCCATGTTCAAAAAATAGGATAAATCCAAGTTCATGGTGCCTCACTGGGTTATGCCATGAATATGGGGAAGGAGCAATATCCCAAAACATCAGTAAACATGGATGTTTTTATTTACTGAACACTGAGTTTTGTTATTTCAAAACATCAGGATAGAGGATGGGAATGACAGGGTCAGAGATGGACTGCAGCTACAGTATGAAATATTCCCTGTCTGGAGAACAGCTGAGAATGCAGTATTGACTGACATCTTACTGGGCCAAGATTTCAATTTTTATTTTACCTTCCTTTTGCAGGTGAAGTCAAATGTGAGGCACCAAATAACAAACTGGATAAGTTCACAGGAACTCTTACTCTTTGGGGAGAGAAGTATGCCCTGGACAATGAGAAGATGTTGCTGAGGGGCTGCACTATCAGGAACACAGAATGGTGCTTTGGTCTTGTTATTTATGCTGGTAGGTAGAAAAATTGACATGTGACCTCCAAATAACAGCAGCACTAGCACGGAAGTACATCACACCCAGTATGCACAAAGGAACCAAGTATTTTCCTCTTTGGAAAATACATTTCTACCAGGTACAAGAACAAAAGCAAAGCAATACATGAGATCCCTTGTCTTAACTCTAGGCTAGAAATTATGCATATTACAGGGGATTTTAATCTGAGATTGTTTATAGTGGTCTGTAAGAGAAAATTGGATTGCAAATGCTACATTACAACATCCAATTTCATCTTAAGTGCTTTAGTAGCAGAAGTAGTCTTATTTCAGAGATGCATGCAGCAATGTATATGAGACAGATCTTGATCAATCAGTAAGAAAGAATATAAAAATGAAACCTGTTTAAGAATTAAAGCTGAATTCAATCTGACTTTACTGGTCCACACTGGGCCAACTGGGGTCTTTCTCTCACCAGGCTTGTTCAAAATTTTTCACTCTTAAGTGTATTCGATTAAAAATTCCACATCATTTCTATGTGATTTTAATCCATACTGGAACATCAGGGTCATTAATAATATTATTGTAGGCCATTAGATCTATGTTTTTTATGAGCATAGGCTTTCTATTGTTTCTATAGTGCTGTAGACATGTGAGATGATGTATAAAATGTCACCAATAACACAGCAGTATCAGGTATTCTGTGAAAAGTAATTAAACATGAAAGAGAGGATTGACTGTTGAAAGAAGAGATCAGGGTCAAAATCTGGAATTAATGGCTTTATGTGACTCTCTCCATACCATCTAAGGCAAGTGTCTTAACCTTCTTCTGCCTAAGTTTCTCCCTGGCACTGTAAATTGTATGTACCTGCCTTCAAGAAAGCTGTGATGGGTATTTATGCTGTAAAGCACAGTGGGGCCTCAGAGGAAATCAGCTTTAGAATAGCTAAGCTTTACTACTAAAATTCATGAGTGTATTTCATCTCCAGGGCCAGACACCAAACTAATGCAGAACAGTGGAAAGACAACTTTTAAACGGACAAGCATTGATCGGCTCATGAATGTCCTTGTGTTGGTGGTAAGTCTGATTAATGTGTTTTCATTTCTTCAGATGTATTCATCACTTCCAGATGCTCTGCCTCTTTGTCCACACAAATGAGGGAATATCAGAAGTGACTAATGATAAAGAGAATAATTATGTAATAATTTATTAAAAGCCTGAGTTCTTCAGTGCCTCTGCCAGCCCCTCTTGCAAAGCAAGGCCATTACATTGACAGCATTAAGGACCTTTCTTCTGAGCTTTTAATTTGCTCTACTCTCCCTTGCTCTGCATTTTTTTGTGGGAATCACTTAGAAGCTTACAAATGCTTTTTTCCCTAGTAATTTTGCCATTTTTTAATTTAAATAAACATTAGCAGTTCTCCCTCTTCCTCCTGATTTCTTGTCATCTCAGGTGATATCTGCATAGGACTTGGTAATTGAGTTTGTTAATTTACATGATGCCAGCTTCTGACTTAACACATTAGGGTAAAATGTTAAACGCGGTCTCATTAATACTCAGAAAACGGTGTTTTTAGCAGCTGGGAAATTTGAGAATACTAATGTTGTATAGCAGGTACTCTCCTCAAATTAGAAAACAGATCTAATTTGAGGTTTAAGCTTGTCAGTGGTTTCAACAAATGGCAAACACTTTCAGTCAGAGGTAGTGATTCTTTTATAGAGACTCTCCCAAGATTTTACTACATGAGTTCAAAGCTGCTCAGGGAAGGAAGACATACACCCTGACACTGCTTTACTCAACGTTGCTTGAAGAAAAGCTCTTCAGTTTCAGGCTTTTATTTTCCTTTGAGTGAAAGCTTGTTATGTTTTTTCATGCATGCTGCACCACCTTTAGTTTATGACACTGAGGTCTGGCGGCCACTGTTCCCTCCTCTCCCCTCCTGCCCTGGCTCTCCAGCCCAACCTGGCAGCCAGGCTGGGGCCAGGATCCAGAGCAAGCCCTGGAGAAGGCACCCAGCAGCAGTCTGTCCATCACAGCAAGGCTACCCTGAGCTCTTCCTGCCCTCCGTGACTTCATGCCTCATCAGCACTTGGGCTTATTGTAGCACAAACATCTCCAGGATGGCACCACTGTCAGACCCTGCCACTTCATCCCCAGTCCTGTCCTCCTGCTTTTTTTCTCAGGATCCCAAAAGCTCTTAAGGTGGGCCCAGGGATAGGAGATGTTAGTGGACAGTGTCAGTTGTGCCCTCTGAGACTGAAATTATACCACAGCAGCCGTGATTAGCCCAACTCCCAGAGCTGTGAAGCAGCGTTCTGAAAATCTCCACGTGTGTGTTTGCTGTAAAACAGTGTCACAGCACAGAGAGCCACTCCAGGGTCATCTTCAGTCCCTCTGGAGTCCTTGCTCCTTGTACAGTAAGGACATGCCCTTGACTTCAGTAACTTTACACCAATCTCTACCGAGTGAAAATCTTGATTACCATCAGCAGCTTGATTTCCTCAGTGTTTTCTTCCCTTACACTTAAGGGGACAGCAAAATCAACCAAGGTTTAGACCTCCTACATCCAAAATTTTGCAAGCATTTGAAAAATCTCACATTTTCTTAGGTGTTCTTCTATGTTTTAGATGGAAAGGAGGATGGGCTGTGGGATAGAGCTATGGGGAATCCACAAAGCACAGAGATAGAGCAGAGAAAAATTGAATACAGAACTCAGAATTTAGCATTTGATTAAAGTTTACCAAATCTCCTTTCACAAGTCAAGGGTCCCACCCAGAGCTTTCAGTCTCTTTGGCCTCTCTTCATGAATGCAAACAAGATGAATTTACCTCCTGGCTCCATTTTAAAAAGCTGAGCAAGTTGCAGTTGATTGCATCAGCCTCTGCCTGGGTTCTTGGGCGCTGATGAAGCTAAGGGTGTGTTTTTCTCCTTCACTCACTTTTAAGGCACCTAACATTTTGGTGTCTAAATAAAGCCCTGTCCTGCCATAAGCACTAGTCTCTTTGCACACCCAAGGGATGTGGCATCAGGTCCTTCCAGCTCACTGGGTGGTCAAAGGTTACAAAGTGCAGTCATAAAAAAAGGCAGTATATTGCACTCTTGAGTTTGGAAATATAAATCAGCCACAGCTTGCTATAAATAGTTCGTTTTAAGTGTAATGAAACTTGTTCCATGTTAACACTGGCAGAGCTATTTTGTGCTTAATTGTCCATAAAACTTCCAGGCACAAAGCAGTGTTTAAGGAGGGCTTGCCAATGGAGTCCTGGTTAAATGTCACCCTGGTCTATCTCAACAAGGGTTAATCAGGACTGAACCTTTCCAGATGGCAAGCATAGCTGTTTTTTCACATTTGGGAGTGTTTCTCCACCATCTGAGAGAGAAGTGAATGTTCCTCTGCTGGGGACGCACCCGCCAGCTCCAGGAGTGCTTTTTCCTCCAAAACTTGCTTTTTAGCAGGTTTGGGGAAGCATATTTTGAGAGAAGTAGGACTGTCCCTTTCATCTCTTAAACAACTTTCCGTTTCAAATCTGAGAGCAGAACTCAAAGTGCCAATAAAGAAACTAAGACAGTTTGAATTCACAGTCCAACAGGAAATGTTTGTCAAAACTCACCCCCTCTTTACAAAAGTCCTACTCAGTCCTCCAGAGGATCTTTCGCAGGCAGTGCATGAGCAGGACCCAGAGAGGTAGGATGTTCACGTGGGGAAGCCCCATAAGCATGCACAAGCCTCTGATCAGTTTTTTTTTTTTCATGTCCCTCTTTTGCGGAGCTGTGGTTACGATTACAACACCCTGCACACAGTTGTTTCTCTGCACAGAAATTAATCTCCAGAGCTGCTGTTAACAGCTTGGCCTTTTGCATTTGTCTCAAAGGAAACAGCATGTTAGTGGACTTTGTGTGAGCATAAGTATCGCACACGAGTTGAGCTTTTAAGGATGAGAACACTGACATGCAAAATGCACATAAAGCAAAACGTACATAAAGCAAGTGCAGTTGTAGACAAGAGCTGTGTGACATGGGAAAGTTCAGCTGCTGTCTTGCCCCATGTGTATTTCTGTTGCTGAATCAGACATTGAATTTCCTACGTGGATTGTGATATTCTACAAACTGTCAATATTTAACCTGTGGGACAGCAAGGAATCATTCAGGGTACGGTGATAAGATAGAAGAGCCAGCTGGCTCTTCTAATTAATGTCTTTTACAACAGGCAAGGTCTGCAGGGAGAAGTAATATCTTTCCCTTGAACAACAGAAATATCTATCAAAATAGACAGGCTTGTCTATTCATGTCTATTGGTTTAATAAAGAACATTACCTGTCCCTGGGTCATGCTGCTCCTATATCCTGAAGTCCTGATGATTACAACAGCACAAATTGGAATCTTTTTTTACTGCTGGTCACAGAGGTTTGTTTAAAAACACTGCACTACATTCCTTACAAGCAAGTAATATTGTCTCCTTTTCACAAGTGGAGAAATTTATTGGGCCTCCCACAATTAAATAGAGAAGCTACGACTAATGTAGGAAGTAAATGTGTCCCCTGAATCTCAGCCCAGCAGCTTTACTTACTGCAGTCACCTTTTAGCAGCTTCTTGGTGTTAAAATTCAAGTTGTATGTATGTGAACTTTTCATGAAGTGATTCAAATTACTCCATAAAAGTATCCTTCCTCCTCTTATAGGTTACCTTAGCAATACAACTATCAGCTTTACAAGCAACGTTTCTATGTTTATACCTCAATTATTGTTTTTTAAAAAGGTTGGTTACTGTTGTAGTGTGATTATTACTGGGTGGCCTTATAGATAATGGCCCAATTTATTGATATTTCCTCCCAAATGATGATACTTGCAAGAGATGATTTTTCGTTGCTCTGTTGTGCAGCCTGATGATTCCATATCTTCACATTTTTATGAGGATGTTGCTTGTTTTAAGTCAAATATTTGGAGAAGTCCATATCAACAGGACTGGTTTAATAAAATTTGGCCAGGGATGATGTCAAGCTAACTTCAGTTTATCTTTTCCACGACCACCATTTCTACCTTTCAAATATTGGAACTGTATTAGCAGATTTTCAGCATGGTGGAGCTTCCTAGTTTCAAAGTATTGTTAAGAATTAACTTTACTGGTTAACAGAATTTCTCATCTAGCCCCTCTAAACTTTCATCTTTAAATTACCTGGATTCACCGGATTGAAAATGCTTATTATTAGCAGATAGAGCCACACAGCATTCCTTGTCACAGACCATAATCTGTCTTTTCCATCCGCTACATCGTATGGGATAGATATTTCCTTCTGCTTCTTTCCTCCTATATTCTTGGAGGACTGTCTGTTGAATATGTATGCTTTTTTCCATACCTGTTTATGAGTTTTCTGGTTTCTGTTCTTGACATTTTATATGACTAATAGATATTCATATTTCTATAATTCCTTGCAGTTTATATTAATGTCTGTTAACTTCCCTTCTTCCCCTTCTTTTTGTATTTGTTTCCAATCGTATTGCTGTGTGTCTTATTTTAATCAAAAATGCTTTATGACCTATGTAATGTTTTTGTGTCTATTAAATGGTGTTCCTGAGCAAGTCCCAGTCTTCACTAAGGTGTCCCTCTTCAAAATTCTCTTCCCAGTTGCTCCTCTGCTAGTTGCTTCAGGCTTCAGGAAATAGGCTTCTCTGAGGTCCATGATACACATCACTGGTTAGTGTTGCTTTCTGTTTGCTCAAAGGAAATGTAATCAGATTGTGACGGCAGGTACCAAGGCAACCATTAGTTCTGAGTCAGAGATTAACTCTCTTTTAGCCGTCAAATGATAGCCAGTGCTGAATTCCAAACTGCACAGTGCTGGATTTTCTGTGCTACAAATTATCTTTAGTAGTTTTTTCAGAAATGGTGAGGAAAACTATGATAACATCCAGGAAACGGCCAGGCAAAGTCCTCCAGGCAGTTCCTGTTCCCAGGTGTGCAGCCAGATGTTTGAGGACCTGCAGCCCAGTTCATCTCTAATGAGCTTTGGTGGTGCGCAGCCAGCTGCCCATGAGCACCCTGGTTTAAGTGTCTGCTTGGGACTTAAATCCACAGCTGCTTGAGGCCTTGTGATTCCAAATTGCCAGACTCAGCACTATGTACTTTTGTCCTCGAGGCAAAAATGCCATAACTTTGCTGTTCTTCCTCCTTTACCTCTGGGAACATTTTCCTGTGATTCAGGCTGTCCAACCCAATCTCATTAAGGTCTTTTGATTAACCTGTACACAATAAATTCCTTGTTTCTAAAATGCAATATTTTTGGGTCTTTTTTTTTTTTTTTTTTTTAGATCTTTGCATTTTTAGCACTGATGTGTCTTATCCTAGCCATTGGCAATGGCATCTGGGAGTATGACAAGGGCTACTACTTCCAGGTCTATTTGCCCTGGGCAGAAGGCGTCAACTCTGCCCCCTACTCCGGCTTCCTCATGTTCTGGTCATATGTGATCATTCTAAACACAGTGGTGCCAATTTCACTCTACGTCAGGTACGTGCCAGAACTTCATTTCATGTTTCATCTTAGAAGTTTAGCTTTTGCCTTAGCTGGGAGCAGCATTTTCCCTAGATACAAATGCAACCCCGTTGTGGACCATTGCACACAACCACAGTGATGCTTTTCTTATTTCTGCTGCCTTTGGAGGTCTTTGTCAGTGTTGGAGCAGGGCCAGCAGTGAACCCTGGAAGAGGAGAGGATCATTTTGCAGTTGAAGGGGAGATGTAGGCGTAGGATGCTATAGGAGTAATGTTGGAAGCTTGCTACAGTTAGCATCTTGTTCTCTTCCACTTGCACTGACCATCAAACAAAGTGAATGGCATGTTCTTTGAGGTGGCTGTAGGGCTCATGTGAGGAGTGGGTTGCCAGGTAAGTAGGTGTAATCAAGTTGAGGATTAATAGAATGTGATGCTATATGAGCAGGGTGAATGTCACCACTTCCCAGAGAACATGGTGCTATGTTAGTTGTTGCAGGTACACTAGCAGCAGTAAAGAGCAGGCAGTCTATCCATGATGCTCTCAAAACCTTGAGGTTGGGATGTAGACTGAGTAGGTCTGTATAATTTATCATGACACCTCACTCTTCAGACAGCTTTTGTGTTGGTAAATATGAGGAATTAATCACGTTCCTGTCCAGTATGTCACATCAGCAGCAAAGTGGTAATTCATGTTGTCTGCAAGCTGATACAGCTCCTTGGTTGCATGGAGTTACACGATGACTTGCTTGTTGTGGAGCTCTGGGTTGTTTGAGCCATGGCTGTGCTCATCCCTGGCACAGGGTTCAGCCCAGCCCAGACCCCTGCTGGAAATGGTCCCCATCTGAGCACCACTCTCGAAAATGTACCAAGTGAAACCCACTGCTCCTGTCTCACTTTTCAGTCTTCAAACTTCAGAAACTTTTCAAATACATTTATAAGATGTTTTATAAATAAAGGAAAGGAATTTACTATAAACCTAACAGATTGTTTCAGCAGGACTTGCTTCAGTATTGCTTACTACATCCCATTTAAGGACAACCTGATGAGTACACCCTGTCATTACCTTCAAAGTTGACTTCTAATTGCAATCACCAGCGGTGGTGCTGAAGATAAGGATCTTGTCCCTTAAGCTAATGAATGTTCCTTCACCTTTTATTTCTGTTTCACCAGTGTAGAGATTATACGCTTGGGTAACAGTTTCTACATTGACTGGGACCGTAAAATGTATTATCCACTGAATGACACACCGGCTCAGGCCCGTACCACTACACTCAATGAAGAGCTGGGGCAGATCAAGTACATCTTCTCAGACAAAACAGGAACTCTCACTCAGAACATCATGTGTTTCAACAAGTGCTCCATCAATGGCAAATCCTACGGTATGTTATCTATTTGTATTATTCTCTGAGTTTTATACCATTGTATGCCTCTTGGTCCACGGAGACTAAATGTGATATCCAGAAGAGAGTGTTCTGTAAGAAGCTGCAGTGGTCAACTGCAAAGCTGCCTGTCAGGGATGCCTGGACAGCCCTGATTACATCATTTGTGTATCTTAATATAATTTTTCTTGTCGCTTGTTTCTCCCTTTTTGCCACCCTTTCACCTCCCTTTTTCTGCCCCAGTATCGCCCCAACTAAAGAACCTGAACCTTACTACTTTTTCCTCATTGATCCCAGTTTTACTTCATATGTACTCAAATTTGTTTTTTTCTGATACCACTACCTTGGTAATCTCAGCCTTTTATGGTATTATTGACATGGTTACCCAGGTATTGCGAACCCTGTAAAACATAACACATAACCCGCATAACTAACTCCTTCTTAACCACTTGTGAAATCAGCCATCCCTCATGGAGTTATCTGCAAATTTTGTCAACTTCCCACACTGTTATCTCTCACATTCAGCAGTTTTCTCATGTCATGAGCAGCGGTTGTCCACATCCTGTTCAGGTAGCTGAACCTTCGGTCAGCACCTAGTCAATGGCCTGGTCATTTGTCTTTAGCCATGACATACTTCACCTACCAGAAGAGAAGTTTTTAGGGAGTTGGAAAAAATGGAAAACAAAAGTTGTTAGCTCTGTTAGATCCTAACAGTCATTCATTGTATGGCCCCTAGCAGTTTTCTTCATACTGCTTAAGAGATGCTAAACAATTCACAAATTGATTAATTGATTAACATCATTAGATTCCCCCACAAAATTAGTCACCACTTATTCATAGATTGATGCTTGTCTTGCCTGTGTCAGGACTGCTGATGGAGTAGTGTGCCAGGAAGCTTGTCTTTTTTTCTCAGTACTATCAGCTGGCCTAATGAAAGAAGTTAAGTCTTCCTCTAAATCTTGATTTGTTTGTATTTGGAGAGCACCATATCTCAGTGTTACTATGCTAGCCAATGTTAGCGCTGCTAAACAGTTTGAAAAATATTCAGTATGCTCATTTACATGTCCTTAGTTGACTTTTGCAAAGTGGATGTCACCACTAACATAGATATAGGCTGTGGGTTCAAGAAACGAATGGGAAATACAGGGAAAGAAGGCAAACAGTCTATTGCCTATAGTTTTCTAAATGCTTAGCATTTAGAAGGTACTTCTTTGGGCTTGCTGCTCAGAGGCATTTGGAAAAGCCAGGTCAGAAAGGATGAATTGGTTCTGCTGCCAGGGAAGGTACTCTGGAGGCTAAAGCTTCTCACTGGGAAGGAGGTATCCAAAAGCCTCCTGATTACAGTTCCCAAGGGATCAGCTGATGTGCAGTTCTCAGGAGAGATGACTTCTGAGTTTCTTCCTCAGAGCTTTTGTGAGGGAGTACCTGTATCTACAATTGACTTTGTTCACAGTTGAGGTTGCTGGTGCAGGTATGGATCTGTCATTCATGTAATTTACTGTATTTCAATCTTTATTGTATTTGAAATCTTTACTGTATTTGATATGTGAAGTGTTGAATCTGGCTGGGCTGGGCACAACCGAGACCTTCCAAGCGAAATTTTTCTTCAGGCACAAGAATTTTTCATAGTGTTTCCTGGAGATGAGAAGTCTGCCATTTCTGTGACCAGATCATCAGTTCAGGGAAAATGAATAGAGCAGCCTTGCTACCTTGCTACCTAGTACGATACTTGCTACCTAGTACCTTGCTACCAGTACAATCCAGGAGCTGGATTTTGTCTTGCATTCCAAAGGGAAGGTACAAGAGAAGTCATCCCCTGAAAGCACCTTCATTTCCTACCTAGCACTACATCTTTTCTGGGTTGAGCCAAGTCATCTGTACCCAAATGCCAGTCATTTTTATAGTAACTGCTTTGTGTTTCAAGCATCTGTCAGCCTCTGGATTTTGTCATGGATTAACATAGAAACTGATTGATATGAATCATCAGTCTCTAGTGCCCATGTCAAGATGCTTATGTTTACTGAAACTTTTTAGTTAGATACTAGTTTCAAAACACTATAACTAATTTTTGTGGTAGAGAAGCTCAGAGACTGCACTTGCCTGGAGTTTATGGCTATAACCTCAGTCTTTCTTGCTTGCAGGTGATGTGTGTGATATGTCTGGGCAAAGAATAGAAATAAATGAGGTAAGTGCTCAAGTACTATCAGGATCTGTGCTTTCAGTGAACCTGCCTGCCTAAGGTGTAGTGGTTACAACCCACCAAGGCATAGCTCATGCTCTTGACTCTGAAAGAGCTGATGCTTTTGACGCTGATACCAGGGATGTGTGTTCTTGTGGATTTCAGAGGATTGCCAGAGTTGCATTCCCTTCCAGTAAGCCTGGTTTAAACATGCAGGTCAGGTAGCCTGAGTCCCCCCTGTTCCCTCAGCTTCACATGACATTCTAGTGCATCCACAGCAACTCTTGAATAATTGGCCATAGAAGTTTGTTGGAAACTTGGACATCAGTGAATTTTATTATTCTTGGCAGTTAATTAAAGTTTTGGTGGGGAATCAGTAAGTTCGGTTCATATCTATAACAAGGTCACTGTCAAATTCCCATAATGTCTGTACATTGAAAAGTGTGAAAATGGGTGAGTTCCCCATTTCTCTCTAGCCTCTGCTTGCCGGAACAAACCCACAGGTCTTGGATTTCTAAAATTGCTGAAAACGGCATGCAGTAGTCCAAGTCACAACCAGTAATCCAAAGTAACAACCAGCAAGATGATGATGAAAATCCCACTCCTCATTCCAATGATTAATTTCCAGACCATTTAAAACTGAAATTACCCACTGAAATTGGTTATTTGTGCTGAATGCTGTGCCTCCAGACTGCCCTCGCTCAGGCAGCAAAATGAAAAAGGCTGGCTTGTTTGGGAAGACATGCTGGTCTTCTGCCAACTGGCTGCCCAGCAGCTCCTCCTGCCCACGATACTCTCTGGAGCAGAGTCCTGCTGCCCACGCATCCATGGTGTTGCAGTACTTGGACCTTGCTGAGCAGATGAGGAGGTGTGGGGGGTGGGGATGGGGCCTGTGCTCTTGCGGTTAAGTGCTAAATGTCAGCTTGTAGAGGTCAAAAGGATGACTCCCATCCTGGAAACTCTGAGCTCATTGGGGACGGGCGGGAGTTGGAATCGTCCAGGGCAGGCAGTGCATTCCTGCATGACACATCATGCTGTGAGCTTCTGGCCATTTCTCCAGTATGTTTCCCTCTGCTTGGGGCTCTTTGTTCTTACACAAAATGGGCAGTGCCTGTGGAGTCGAACCTTTACATCAATCGTCTGTCATCTTTCTTCCATATCAGGATTTTTTCTTGCTTTGGGAGAACAGGGTGGAGAACACAGCCTTTTGAATTGTCTTTAATTGGGCTTCCACATTCCCTTATCACAGGCAGCCACTGACATCAGGAGCATGATGTCTCAAAGCAGGCATGTGTTGAAGGCAGGCATTTCTTTGCTATAGAAACCCTTTGGCAGGGATCCTATAGGAGCACTTGCTGTCTTATAGAGAGGCATCTTTAGCTAATCAGGTTCTCAGCCTGAGTGCTGCTCTGAAAGGCACTTCAAGTGCCTGTTCTCTCCTGTGATTCAGTAGCTTTCATGAATTCCCACTTACTTACACTCATCAATTTCTGTCATGAATAGCCCTGCAGAAGAGGGCCTTTTGTAAATGTAAGGTGGAGAGAGTGCTATGATCAGCAGGCATTGGTGTACAGGCATATGAGAGCTCCACAGATAACACTGAGCCATGTTTTTGCAGAACACAGAGAAGGTTGATTTCTCATACAACCAGTTAGCCGACCCAAAGTTTGCCTTCTATGACCATAGCCTGGTTGAAGCTGTGAAGCTGAGTGATGTCCCAACACACAGGTTCTTCCGGCTGCTCTCACTTTGTCACACAGTGATGCCAGAAGAGAAGAAGGAAGGTGAGGACTGTTGAAGGCACTAGACTGAGTGGTTATGTTCACCCTGCACCACAGTATGTCTTCTCTCCACAGAAGCTGTTATTGGTCCTTTTGGCTCCCTGGTGACTTTCTATAGTATATGGCTACACATAAATCAATGTCTTTGGAGATGCCACATGGGAAGAGAAAGGACCAGGGCCTCCACTCCCTGTGTGTTCCTGTGGTGGAGCTGACACTACTGCAAACACCACATCTCTGGAGTGCGGAAATTGCAGGTGCCACAGCTTCCTCGAGGTGGCAGATGGCTTGCCCCACTCTTTCTCTACTCTGCACCAAGTCCCATAAAGCAAAGAGTGTAGAGCACCTATCCACTGGAGACTCATTAGCTCCACTTACCCGGTGTTCCCACAGGTACTGGGTCAGTCTCCTCAAATTCCATACAGGGTGAAAACTGTGCTTTAAAGGATAGAACCATTAATTGACACATAAAAGGTGAAAATACTGATGAGAAAAATACATGCAGATCTAACTAACAGGGGTTAAACCTGAGGAACTTGTCCTTTCAGTGAGATCTGCTGGACTCCAGAGAGAGTCATAAAAGACCCTAAAAGACTCTAGGAGGACTCTGGCACTGGCCTAGAGGATGGGTTGATGGGACTTGATGGAGACATGTGGACATAAGGTGCTTTTTAGTGCTGCACTGGTGGGGATAGACAGAAAAGCAAAGGGTTAACTGCTATATGATGTCTTTTATTTTGTATTTGCTTAGCCTCAAAAGCAAGGTAGAAGCCACATTACTTGGTTTTTTTTTGCATGTCAGGTAACTTGGTGTATCAGGCCCAATCTCCTGACGAGGGAGCCCTTGTCACTGCTGCCAGAAACTTTGGATTTGTGTTCCGGGCTCGCACACCAGAGACCATCACCGTAGTGGAAATGGGAGAAACAAAAATCTACAAACTCCTGGCTATTCTTGATTTCAACAATGTTCGCAAGCGAATGTCTGTTATTGGTATGTTCCCTTTGCTCCCTTCTTTCCTTCCTGACCGTCTAGGCTCTCAAGTTGACCCTCATTCTGCTGTGATGCCTTTTCCTAGGAGAACTCCTCTGCAGTGCTTTCTGAATAACATTTACTTCTGAGCACTTGAGATGGGCTGCATTGACTTTTCAATTACACAGCAACAGTGCTAGATAAATACTTAGGCAGATGAGAGAACATCTTAACATCTGGACCACAATTACAGAGCACCTTCCTGAAGATACTAAGCATTTTGCATATTTTACCTCCTCCATGACAATGCAGTAAAGGCCATCCTTCTAATCAGCTTCAAAATTATCAGTGAAATCTGAGGAAGTGGGAAAGGAGAAAGCAAGGATGAGTAGGGAAGTCCACTTTCCCAAAAGTGAAATGGAATAATGATTCAAGAAACTTTGTGTAGCCTTTTTTAACCCTCCAACATCCTCAGAAACTTTGAGGACTGGAATATCACAGCCATAGCAAAAGAGTGGTAGTACCTTTACTGTTAGGAGCAGTAGGACCAGTTCCCTAAGAACAAATTGTTCTTTACTTTTGAATGCAGATGTCCTGCCTGAAGTGCTGCTTGTAGGAATCACGTAGTCCCAACAAAGCATCTGCTCAGACCAATGCAATCTGGGTGCAGTTGCCTGTGCTGTTACCACTAATGTGGAGACATGTGGCATTATCTTCTTTTTTTTAAGGAAAGCTTGTCCTGATTCCTGGGAGTTTGCCAAAACTTGGAGTTCAGACACCTCTAAAAACCTTTCTTTGTTTTGATGGAAGTGCTGTGAATCCCAGGTGCCTCAGTCTGGGATTTGTAACATTTCTTCTCCTCTTCCTTGTAGTGCGGAGTCCAGAAGGTGACTTGACTTTGTACTGCAAGGGGGCTGACACCATTCTTTATGAACTCCTTCATTCATCCTGTGAAACTCTCAAAGAGGAGACCACAGAACATCTGAATGTAAGTGTTTCCTTCTGCACAGCATCTCTGCATTTGATGGTTTCCTTTTCTCTGGGTATGGAAATGTACTTTGTGTTGAGACAAAAAACAGATTTCAGAAGCAGCACCTATTTTTTAAATATGGAATGGAGAGGGAATTTAATTTATAAAGTCTTAGGTCTCAAATCAGTTGCCTAAGCACGGGCACCAGGTGCCATTTGAACTGCTCTAGGACATCTGGACACAGATGGCAAATACAATGCAGGACATTTAGACGACCTGTATTTTTCTGTAGTAGGAGCTGGAAGCCAGGCAAGATAGATGAAACATCAGAAATGACACAAAACATCTGTGTTTTGGCAACTAAATTTCATCTGAGTCTGCTGTTACTCTACAATGCATGCACCTGATGCGTTCAAGTATGCTGTGGATCACAATAATTCAGATGATCAGTAAAGGGCCACAGAGCCGTTTACCTTCTTGAATACAATTAAGATCTGCAGCACTTGTGATTCAGGAGGTCTCAGTCAGAAGGGACCGGGCAGGTGCTGTGACATATTCTCGCTCACCTGCCCTTCTTCCAGATCATATAGGGACATATTGACTGGGCAGCAAGGAAAATGTGTCAGTCAGACGTGTGGCCTTCTGTATTTTTGATGGTGTGCACTGGGAGGTGGTTGCTCATATAAGGGGATGTTTTGGCAAATGTTTACTCCCCCTTCTGATGCCAGATCCTGCTGGTACAATGCAGAGCACAAGATAACAGAAAGTTTTGCCAGAGGGGTTGTGCAATAGAAAGAACATCTCTGCTCACTGCCGGCGGGAGCCAGAGGAGGTTGCTGGCAAAGGAGAAGGCAGAGCAGAGCTGTGGTGTGGCCTGTTCCTGATGCACCATTAGTTCAAGACTGGGGGGAACGTCTCAGTTTTCACAAATAGATTTCTGTTATTCCACCAAACACTGAGATCCATACTGTTAATCATACATCTGCAGAAAGCACAGTTAGAAGGACTTGGTGAGATGTCATGACTGACTGCGCTCATGCTGTGCATTTCGGCCAGCATTTGTACCCTAAAAATTTTGAGCTCAGGTCCAAAATTCAAGGCTGTGTTCAGTGTTTATTTAGGTGTCACTGTTCTTTTGTTGAGACATATGAGCCCGCGAAACAACTGCCTGGCTAATTTAAAACTTTAGAGCCAGAAAGTTGGAAAGCCCATTTTAATTTGTTCTTTGTAAGGATCATGGATGGCAATGATAAAGTGCCCTGGAACTAGTTTTAAAAAGTACCCCAAGGTTTGTGGTCTAAGGTGTGATTTTTTTGCCTTTCCTCTACAGAGTTTAGGCAAGAAACTTTTACAGATAGATGTTTACTTTCCAAGGGTCCTTTGTAAGCCCAGGTGAGCAGACCATTCTTTTTTGACCTATTCTGCCTGACCACTGTCTCGCAGGAATTTGCTGGCGAAGGTCTGAGGACACTTGTGGTGGCCTATAAAAACTTGGATGAAAACTACTTTCAAGACTGGATCAGGCGTCACCATGAAGCAAGCACTGCCTTGGAAGGACGGGAAGATAAACTGTCAGAGTTATATGAAGAGATTGAAAAAGACCTCATGGTTGGTGTTTCAAGGAATCTGGGCCAAGCTCTGGGGGAGGCAGCGGGGATGGTGGTTTGTCAATAAACAGCTCAGTAAGACTTAAGTAAACATTGCTCTGCAAACTGCTCAGTGGGTTGTGTGACAAGCAGTTAAGAATATGGCAGTCCTGGGTTTTCACTGGCACCTCCATCAGGAGCCCATAACTGGGGTGTCAGCCACCAGTGCAGGGGAAGGGTTTTATTTTAACTCAAGTGGGTGTCAGAGTAGCTTTTTGGTGATGAAGTGACATACCAGAGCCTAAGGGAGATGACGTGGACACAAATATTGCATAGCTATCCTTTGTATGTGCAAATGGCTGATCTGTTTATTTTCCTGTCTTTGAAATGGCAGGCAGTGAATAATCCCCAGTGTCCCTCTGTTTCAGAGATCATCTTCTTTGTTCTTGCACCCTGGGCAGGATGGGGAGATGATGTCCATGAACATGTTTGTGTCGATTTGAAATAGGGCTAAACTGTGATCTTCAAGTAATTCTTCTCTCCCTGAGTGTTGTTACAGCTTTTTGAATGCCCGGGGGCGGGTCTGCCTCTGTTTTAGAGCTGTGAATAATGAATGAAAAGGATGTGTGGGATCTGAGGGGAAGCAATTCAGCTTTTGCACTTGCAGAAGTGTTTTTCTGAAGTCTCGGAAATCCTTGGAGCCACACTCTTGCTCCTTCCATTAGCTGCACACTCAGGATGCCAGCAGAGCCTGGAAAGAAGCAAGCATGAGCCAATTTGATGTTGACCCCTGAAAGTTGCATAGTTTATGGGGCAGAGCCCACTGCCCTTCTTGGTCTCAGCAGAGTAGTGGAAAATGCTGATCCTCTAGTCCAGAGAATACGTTGTGCAAATGCTCTGTGGGTTTGTTCAAAGCAGGAAAGACATGGAGGTTTAGGAGGTTAAGGGGCCAGCTGCTTTGCAAGGAAGGGTTATGAAGCTCGTGGCCTGAGTAGAGAACAGGTCATGGGCTCACAGTGGGAAGAAGTGTGGCTCAGAAGATAACGCTGATTACACGAGACCCTTCTCTGTACTCTCTACAGGAATGACTTTACTTCCCAAAGGTGCTGTGGGAAGAATAGAGGGTGAGTGTAGGAAAGCCTGGCTTGTGTCAGAGAATGAGTGTGAGAGTCAGAGTCAGCAACAAAGTAAATGGGTCTTGTGGAGGTGTAGAGAACTGACAAATATTGTAGTCTAGTTGATGGTCAAGAGCAGAAGTCCCTGTGTGTGGCAGGCTCCTGCTAGGGACCCTTAGCAGGAGTAAGGATATAGGACATAAAGGGATAGAACATGATTAGATGCAAAGGATAGTAGTAAAAATGCTAGTTATTGATTGACCTAGAAACTTAGGAAGATCCACAGTCAGAAAGGCATCACAACTGTCCCTCCAGGTGCACTTATACCAGGTCATGGGCAGACAGGCAAAGGTCTGAGAACAATACTATTGTCCCTTTCTGCATCCCCAGAAAGACAGTGACTGTGGTGAATGTAAGCTGTTGTTCTCTCTTCCTGGGCACATATGACATCAGTGTCCATCTTTGGCCTTCCAGCTCAGTGTCAGGCTGCCAAGGATGAGCAGGTGCTCCCAGGAGGTGGCTTTGTATGCTACAGGCATTTAAGCTCTCTCTAGCTGGACCAGAAACTACTGCTGTAAAATGTCAATTGTACAGTTTGGAGGACCCCATAGAGAAGCTCTGTCAGAGCTGTTGTCTACATTGATAATATTCATAGCTAATGAATTATGAACATCCCAGGAAGCCAAAAGGGATCTTGGCTTGAAGCCAACCTCTGAATTTAGTTTCCCAACAGCAGGAGGTAGGTGGTAGCAGATGCTGTCTAAACCTGAGTTGGCAGTGCAACTTTCATGTCCCTTTGATGATAGGTTAAAGCCACCAAGTATCTCCAAAATGCAGAAAAAGCAATAACTTTAAATAACAAAGGTTTGTGTCCTGAGCAGTGTGTGGTTTAGCTGTGTGACAGTGTGGAGCAGCAGTGGGGACAGGTCTGTTATGGGCTGGGGAAGATGTTTAACTGCTATATGACAGTTGCAGTACAATATTAGCTGGGAGCAAGCTCCACACAGGAGGATGCAAATGGAGGTTTGGGGACATGGATCCACAGCTGTCTGTGTCCCTCAATTAAAGCTCTCTCTGCTGTGAAGTAGACACATGGAAGAACATAGACCTGGATTTCATTTGTGTTTGCTTGAGTAATTACCTGGAGGTCTAATGCTTTCTCATTTTCTAGCAATGGGAAGACTTACTGGTTCCCTGCTGTTTTCTGTTAAGCTGCTAGGTGCCACAGCGATTGAGGACAAGTTACAAGACGGAGTCCCACAGACAATTGAGACTCTTGCCAAAGCCAACATCAAGATATGGGTTCTCACTGGAGACAAGCAAGGTAAAGGGGCTACAGCTTTGGATGTTTCTCTTCTCTCTTATCAGTGGGATGGTTCTACTAAGAGTCATCTTCTCATTCTTTCTCTTTTGAAAACAGCACAGAAGACAACTTACAGGGCTTTGCTTCATTGCCAGCTAGACAAAACTCCAGTTACCTGGAATTAGAACAAATAATTGTAGATAGTGCCTGTTCTTAATTCCTGTCCTAGGGCTGGAAGCATTGTGAAGGCAGCATCCTTTGGCTTTGGAGAGGTGACAATGAGCATCCCCCATAGTCCCTGTCATAAGCTGTGATAAGGTGTCACTTTAGTGCTGTTGACCATTCTGGTGAAGGTGAAAAAATTGTCCTGCTTTCCAGGAACTTTAATGCTAAAGTAGATGTTGAGTCTGTTTCAGCTTGATCCTGGCATTAATGATCCAGAATAGAAATGGAGGAAACACAGGCTTTTGGAGAAAGCATTAAGTTGGAAAGAATGGTAAATAGACCCCAATGAATTATTCTGGAGAAACAGTAACTTCACTGAAACAATGGTGTTTTAGGGAGGCCCGAAGTGTTTGCAAATAATTTCATCCAAGAAATTTGAGAAAATGAAACATTTCATTTTGTTATGTTCCAAATGCAGTAGTCGTGCTTATGAATACCAGAAATTTTTTTTTCAGAATCTTCTGAACAAAATGTCTTGATATTCTTCTTCAGAATTATGGTTTGGGGCTTTTCTGGGAGTAGGGGGAGGGAAAGTTAAAAATCCTGAAAAAATTATTTGCAATCAAAATGAAATGGTTTTTGTTCTCCAAGTACATTGGCCAAAGGGTGTTTTAAGCTGTTTCATTCTGGTAGAATTATTTTTTTCTGTGGCCTTGTGAAGCCCAATTAGGGGAGATCTACTGCTACACCCATCAGGGTGTCCCCTGGCTCTCTTAAACTGTTGACTTTGAAAGGCTCAGAACTCTTTTCAGTGAGAAAGGGAGATTTTGCCATGTGAGTAAAAAGGCCACAGAGACCACAGGTGAGTTTGGAGCTGTTAAGATGGATCATGTTCCTGGTTTATCTTTCCCAGAGACAGCAATGAATATTGGTTACTCCTGCAACTTGCTGAATGATGACATGGAAGATGTTTTCATTATTGAAGGCAGCACATCTGATGATGTACTTAATGAGCTGAGGTAAATGGCTGAATTATACAGTTTCATTGCTGTGCACTGACAATATTTGTATTTTGTATTATTCCACCTTTTTTTCCTGTGAGCTTTACTTGGTACAGTACATCCAGGGACCTCAGGTAAGGGCTAGGTGGCTCCCTGGAAGGTCCAGCAGCTAAACACCATGTAGAAATCTCCTCTGAGGATAAAATCTGAAGCTTCTTGATCCAACAGGTCAAAACTACATAAATGCTAAGAAAGCAGAGTCAGGCAGGCAGTATCAGTTGACATTTGACAGGTGATCTGGAGCCACAAAGCCTTTGGCTCCAGGCTTGAGCTATGCTGCTGCTCTACTGCTATCGCTGTTCATCCACAGTGCCATCCTTTGTCTGGATATGGCCCTTTTCTAGCATTACCTGGAAACATACCTTCCTCCCTAGCCTCCTCAGTAGGCACAAGTTCTTAGGTATAGGTAGAAAATGTGAAAGTTTTTCAGTCCTTTTCTCTTGAAATAGGTGGTTGCCAGACACTACACACAGAAAATTGTGATGCCCTCTGGGATACTGTCCTTCATGACACTCAGGTGGTTTGTTTCATTGTAAATCAGTACAAGTTTAGCACACACTTGTTAGAGTTTCAGAAGCATGTGGATGATCTGCACAAGAGCAGCAGCTAAACTATGCAGGTTGTTGTAGGGGTACAGGGAGAATTGAACTAAGCTATCAAAGAGAAACATTGATTTTTTATTTTTATAAAGTTGATTTAATAAAGCATATGTATCTTTACAAGATTTTCATCATTATTTTGGACTTTTTTTTAGGAATGCAAGGAAAAAGATGAAGCCAGACTCCTTTCTGGACAGTGATGAAATCAACATTCAGTTTGAAAAATCTTCAAAAAAAATAAAAATTATACCCGATGAGCAAGCAAATGGGGTGTACGGTCTGGTTATCACCGGACACAGCCTGGTAAGGAAGATCCAGAGTCATGTTACGGTTGAGTTCTCTGAAGAACTTAATGTGATAGGGACATACTGGAAGTCTGAAAAATGCTTTAAAATTTTAGCTCTATAGGACTGGAATTTTTTTCCTAACTGAAGATTACGTTCAGTGGCTACTGGAGATATCAGAGGTGATGGGCAAGGTTTCAGAAGACTGGAACAGCGAAGAACTGTCCCTGATGTTAGGTGAACAAGAGGGTTGGGATAGCTAGATCAATTTTCATTTCCAGAAAGATACTAGAAAAATAATCTGGTAGTTTATGGATGCAGCAAGAAGATAAGAAAACATGAGACATGGGTTTCAAGTATGCCAAGAACATATTCTGCTAAATATACCTGATAACAGATATATTTAACAGATAAGATATATATCTTGTAACTTAACCAATAAATTGTTTAATGCTCTCTCCCATGATGTTCTTCCATGCAAACTGGAGTAATACAGTCTAGATGAAATTGTTAAATGACAGATGTAAAACTGCTTGGAAAGTATGGCTCTTAAGGGCTCAGGGTTGGTCTAAAACAACGGTAAAGTGGCATCTGCAGGGGGCTATTACACATCTGTTTGATATTCTATGTTTGCATTAACTGCTTGAAAAGAGAGCAGATAGCTCCAGGCTGGGAGAAACTGCAGGCATGGTGGAGCTCAAAATTAGATTTGAAAACAATTTTAGCAAATTGGAGAAATGCTTCAGGAAAATGGAGAATGTAATTCAGTAAGAACAAATACCTTGTTCTTCACTTTCACGTAATTCACAACACACATAGAAAATTGTGTGTGTGTGTGTGTGTGTGTGTGTGTGTGTGTGTGTGTGTAAGAACATCATCTGTAAGACCTGTGAAGAAAGCCTCCTGCTTCATTTGGCGTCGGTAAAGTCTTAGCTGAAATAATCCATCTTATTTAGGCCATTTTCTTTGAGAAAATGCAGACCAACTAGAGAGAATACAAAGAAAACTCTAACAGTAATCATGCAGGATCTGGAAAGTGTAGGGGAAAACTGAGATAGATAGGATTTCTGAGCCTGGAGAATACTGATCAGTCTTGGTAATACTCTTCAAATAACAGGTAAACAAAGTAACGGAATTCAACTGAAATAAGAGAGTTTAAGGTGAAATGTCTTCCTGGTGAGAACAGTGAAGCACTGGAATAGATTTTCAATCCTTGGAAATATTTTAGAAAAGGTAAAGAGGAAAAAACAATTTAGAAAAAACATTTCAACCTGTTTAGGAGGAAATCTTAGTCTAGATCAGGTTAATTTGTCTGTTTTATTTTGCTTTCCCAGTTTGCAGGGTAAGCAAATGGGTAGACATGAAAAGCTGGGAGGCACTATCTTTCAGAGACAAGATGCTTCTGTTCCCTGTGGTTGCTACCTCTCTTGGTGGCGGTCCAGCAAATGCAACTCCCACTTCTATACCAGTCCAGCAAATTACTATTAAAAAAATCTCATCTGGATCCATTTCTGGCTTGTGTGCCACATACATGGGCCCTGGACTAGAGAGGACACTTTCAGGCAATGTCTATGTTGCCAAGTGCCCTCTCCCTCTTTTACACTTGCTCCCTCTTAAACTCCAGGGCCTTAATCCCCTTTAGAGCCCCACTGCAAAACAGACAAGAGCTCAGTCAAATTCTGTGCATTTGCATAGGCAAATCCTCTGACATCCCAGATGGCTGCAAGCCCCTGCCCATTCCTACTCCATCCCTTCAGCCTGCAGCACAGACCCCGAGTGCTGTGCTATAAAAGTACCACTGGCAGCGGTGACAGAGCTTTCTTTTTATTCCTGGAAACCACACACTCGCCCACACCCTGGCAAAGAGGTATGTCCCACACAAAAAAATTCAAATCTGGGTTGTGTGGGAGCAGATAGCCCACATAGCCTACAGCAGAGTGGACACAGCCAGTCTTGCCAAGGCCATGGTGTTCTCCCAGGTGTAGACCACAAGGACAGTGTGGGCAAAACTATATGTTATTTATTTGCTTCTGTGAACCTAGAGCTTGGACAATGGTAACAGATAGTGCTGTACTGTCCCACTCAAAAGCAGCATCTGTTCAGCATTGTATCCCTACGTGCAGTAGGTGTGATAGCAGCACTGGGGCTATGCACACATGTGGTCTTGCTTAAAGTGAGTGAAGAGAAGCACAGCAGCATCTGTAATGGCATCATCACACTAGATGATTTGTGTGCAGTACCATTAATATACTATGTGATAATATTTTGCTAGTGCTGTGCAATGAGGATGTTGTGGCAAAAGCCACCTCTAACTGCACTGACTGGTTGGTACTAAATTAAAAGCATTAAAAGGTCTCTCTTGTTGAGCAAGCCTGCCTGCCATTGACAGGAGGGAACCAGGGTGCTGGTGACTCATAGCTCTGTTTCAAGAAGAAAGAGTATCTGGCCTAAGGATTGTCTGCAGAAATGTCTCTGAGGAGTGCGCCTGCTGTAATGTCTCTGAGGGGGAGAAAGCCCTGTAGATTTCTTCCATGCCTGTCTACTGAGAAGAGACACCAAAAATCATGATCTGAAAGAAATATGGAAATCTGACACTGCTTCCTCCTCCTCGTGCAGAGCTGGAGGGGTGGCCAGATATCCAATTATCTCCCTGCTTCCCAAATAGAAATAACATGGCTAACTGATTTAAAAGGTCAGCATAAGTTGCCTTCTCCCTGGCTTTGTGTTTTGCTTTGTCATGCCCACCTGAGCTCAGCTTTTTCCATTTTTTTTTTTTTAATTAAGTACTCCCAAACTGAAACCTCTTCTATTTATACCACAGATCTCCCAGAGCTTAGAAAATAAACCAAGAGGGATGAGCAGAGACTCTCTCACATGGAGATACACAAGGTTGTCTCAGGCCCAGCAGCAGCTTTGTTAATTTAGTGCTCCTGTTATTTGGCTCTTCTGCTGCCTGTCAGCCAGAGCAGCTGTTGTGCAAATCCAGCTGTGGTGCACCCAAGGTGCAAGCTCGTAGGTGTACGCTGCATGGCATGATGTTGTGTGGTGTGGATGCTCCCTGCGACCGAACGGATGGATTCACTCGGGGTATCTCGTACGTTCCTTCTGCCAAATGGAAGGACTAGCTCAGTTTTCATTTCCTTCCCGCTGCATCACCTTTGCCAGGCCGTGAGTTGCTGCTGGTCTGACCTGAACACCCGCTCTGCTCCTTCTTCTCAGGCTTACGCGCTGGAAGGGAATCTGGAGCTGGAGCTGGTGAGAACTGCCTGCCTGTGCAAAGTGGTGATCTGCTGCCGGGTGACTCCGCTGCAGAAGGCCCAGGTGGTGGAGCTGGTGAAGAAGTACAAGAAGGCTGTGACCCTGGCAATTGGAGACGGCGCCAACGATGTCAGCATGATTAAAAGTGAGTGACGGCCGACAGCCGGCTCTGGCAAACTGACTCGCTGATGTATTTGGTATCTGAGGTGGCCCAGCAGCAGGAACACCTATCGGAGTGCCTTCTGTACCACCCTCTTTGTGGCATCAAGTGGCTGTGTCCCAGGGTTTGGCAGGTTTCTACAGAGCACTGTCACTAGAGGCTACACATGTCTCCTGCCTTCCCAGACACACAGGAGGCCCTTTTTCTCGCTCCCACCACCAGCATCACAGGAAGCTAAGGCTACACTTACTTCCTATTTCTCTGTTTCTACCTTAGAATAGTGTCTTGGTTTGGGCTGAAATAGAGTTAATATTTCTTTTCAGGGACTAGACGAGTGCTGTGTTTTGGATTTAGCTTTGGGTTTGATATGGGAAGAATGCTGACAGCACCCTGATGTTTTCAGCTGCTGCCGAGACTTCCAGGACTCCCCGACTCCCCATGTCCTGCCCGTGCGCCAGGGCACAGGGAGCAGGGAGGGAGCACGGCCACAGCACCTGACCCAAACTGGCCCGTGAAATATTCCATACCATGGCACGTCATGCTCACTATATAGAGGAGGGGGGGTCGGGAAGGGGATCTCTCTCTCTCGCTTCTGGGATTGCGACTGTGAGATCTTGGTATCTGGGGGTTGCTGGCCGGGAACGGGCTGGGTATTGGTTGGCGGGTGGTGAGCAATTACGCTGTACATTGCCTGTTTATATATTTCTTTTTGTTTTCCCCCTATCATCGTTTTATTGCCATTATTAACCTGTTCCTATCTCAGCCTGCGAGTCTCCCTTCACCCCTCTAATCCCCTCTGCCATTCCCAGGTGGGGAGGGGGAAGGGAGGGTGACCACCTGCGGGGGTTGGTTGCCCACCAGGCCCAAACCACGACAATAGAGAAAAGCCCACTGGGGCTGTGACGTGGCCACCCACCCATGTGTCTGCATGGCCACCGTCACAAGGGCAATACAAAGAACAAGCAAGTTCTTTTCAAAGGGGGCCTGTCTGCAGTGCAGAAAGAAAACCTTCATGTCTGTGTAGTATTACATGATTTTGTTTAACATTTCCATGTGGCAGGGCCATTTATCAGTTACCTCCCTTGAGTTATAAATCACAGGTTTCTAGGTCTCTTCATTCTTGAGCATCATCTGATGCTGCATTACCTTAGTGTATTTATGAAAAAAATCCCCCAACTAGGTATAATTAAACTAAGATTTTTCAGAAGGGCCTATTGCTAATCTTCCTTGTGTTAATTTGCAAGAATTGATTAACTGGAGCCTTTTAATTAAGAAAGAAAAGGCTAAGTAGGGAGCTTCAAGGGAGATAAGTCAGGCAGTCAGTAAAGAAAGGATAAGAAAAGTTCAAGTGTACATGATAATTAGAAACTAACCCACTCTCCTCATGAGAGGGTTGGGACTTTGGGATTTTATCAATTCACTGTTCCGTGGAAACCTCTGAATCTAACCAACCTCCAGCCATTCTATGATTACTTGAAGCTGTATAATTAGCTGCTACATTAAATTTATGTCCATGTTTAATAAACCCAAGTTACTATTAAAAAAGATGTGACTCTTCTATCTAATTATTTGACTGAACTAATAAAGCCCAGGAAACATAAAAAGGCTTCAGTCTGCCTTGTAGCAATGTATCTGAGCTATCTCTCAGGGGTTTGAAGATGTTGCTTCTCTGGAGTGATGTTTTAAGGCTGCTGGAAGGACATGTATGCATGTAAATATAACTCACATGTCAATATAAATTAAAGTTATTTTTTCATAACAGCAGCTGTTATGAACAACAGCATTTATGCTGTTGGAAAGCATTCAGAAATAAGATTGTCACTGAAGGTATAATTTCATTCAAATAGTAAAAGCCCAATTACTGGAAGTGTATCGCACAGCCAAAATCATAATTCTGGTGAAAAAAATAAGCACCTCAAAATATTTTAATTTTTTAAAAAATAACTTTACATATGACTTTTTATGAAGGCTGGGAGGGAATGAACACAGCGCCCCAGTGCAGGGAACTCATTTGAAAAATTGGGGTAAACAAATCTCCCAGTGTAATGACATGATCAATAACCTTCTTGTTGCAGCTGCCCACATCGGGGTTGGTATCAGTGGCCAGGAGGGGATGCAGGCGGTCTTGTCCAGTGACTTCTCCTTTGCACAGTTCCGTTACCTGCAGCGCCTACTCTTGGTCCACGGCCGGTGGTCCTACATCCGCATGTGCAAGTTCCTCAAATACTTCTTCTATAAGAATTTCGCCTTTACATTAGTGCATTTTTGGTATGGCTTCTTCTCTGGCTTCTCAGCACAGGTAGGTCCAGCTGCTCTTTTCTCATGGTCATGTCTAGTGTTTTCAAGCAAAATGTCTGGAAACATTTTAAAAAGAAATAAACTAAGGCATTCCCCCCCACACCTCACTGAACAGCACACAGGTCTGTTTTCTTCAGCTGTATGAGTATACCTATGAGCCTTCACTATGCTGGTAGATGACAGATGCCTGAAGACATTTAGGTGCATTATGAAGGACACAGGTCCCTCGTGGGAATTTTGCAAGTGTTCAAAGTGACTACAGCCATCAAATGAGGATACAGATTACATGGGGGCCTGACCAATCTGTCACAGATCTGTGTAAGACGTATGTTTGCCCTATTAGCACATTTGAAGCAAACAGTTTAACCCCAGGAGTGCTTCAGCAGCTTGTAAAAGGAGCAAATCTCCTGCAGCAAAAAAGCTGGTGTTAGTTTAGGCAGGGTGGTTGCCATCCACCCCTGCCCACTGGCTGCCTACCACGGTGGACACCATGCCATGCTGGGAAGAGGGTCCTGCTCTGGCTGCTGCTGGTGGTGGACACTGAGCAAACAGGGTTAGCATAATGTGATCCTTCCTCTGTGTATTCTCACAGTTTTGGTAACGAGCCACTTAGGGCTGCTGAGCTTGAATCATCTCATACTTTTGGTCTCAGTAGCATCTAAACCAAGATGTTCCAGACTTTAATTGTGTATTAAATGCTGTTTAATACCTTCATAAGTGATCTGGATGATAGGATCAAGTGTACCCTGATGAAGTTTGCTGACAATACCAAACTGGGTGGGGAAGTAGACACTTTGGAAGGCAGAGCCACCCTGCAGGAAGACCTGGATAGTCTGGAAGAGGGGGCTAACAAAAACCTGATGAATTTCAACATGGACAAGTGTAAGGTCTTGCGCCCAGGAAAACATAATCCAGGCATGAAGCATAGGCTGGGATCTACCAGACTGGGGAGCCGCTCTGTGGAAAGGGACCTGGGGGTTCTGATAGACAACAAGCTCAGCATGGGTGAACGGTGTGCTGCAGCAGCAAAGGAAGCCAACAGGATGCTGGGCTGCATCAACAAGGACATCACCAGCAGAGATAAAAAAGTCACTATCTCACTCTACTCAGTGCTCGTCAGGCCATGTCTGGAATACTGTGTTCAGTTTTGGTCCTCACTCTAAAAAAAAGATGTGGACAGTCTGGAGAGGGTCCAGAGAAGGGTCACAGAGATGATCAAGGGAGTTGCAAGCTTGCCATGCGAAAAAAGGCTGAGAGGGTTGGGTTTGTTCAGCCTTGAGGAGAGAAGGCTTAGAGGAAAACTTGTCACCATGTTCCAGTATTTAAAGAGTGGCTACAAAGAAGATGGAGACTCCCATTTTACCAGGATTCACATGGAAAAGATGAGGGGTAATGGGTGCAGGTTACTGCTGGGGAGATTCCAAGTGGACACAAGAAGAAAATTTTTCACAATGAAAATGTCCTGGGTTGAGTGAGTGGTGGATTTTTTTGGTGGCAGGGGAGGGGGCTATAGGGGCAGCCCCCTGTGAGAAGTTTCTCGAAGCTCCCCCAGCTCCACGTCAGCTCCACTTCTGTTTGGGAAATTGAGCCCATCAGCTGCGCCTCTGCGATAACGTATTTAAGAAGGGACGTGGTGACGGGCAGTGGGACTTGTGAGGAGGAGTTGCTGCAGCTGCATGAACACCAAGGTCAGTGGAGGAACGGAGGAAGAAAGGAGGGGGGAGGTGTGCTGGAGCAGAGACCCCCCTGTATCCTGTGGGGAGATGGCAGGGCGGCCCCCCCTGCCACCCATGGAGATCTACGGTGGAGCAGACATTGATTTATGGCCTGTGGCTTTTGCTTGGAATATTCAAGGTGCTGTGCCCAAAGAAGGCCGGGGTCTCATGGGAAAAGGCAGCCCCGCTGCTGTAATTCAGCGCTGGGAGGATTGCAGCATGCGGGGGAGTCCCACGCCGGAGCAGCTCAGGAAGGGCTGCAGCCGTGGGAGGGAATCCAGTCGGAGAAAGTTAGTGACCCATGACGGAGCAGTGTGGGGAACGCTGCGGCCCATGGGAGGAATTCAAGTCGGAGAAAGTTTGTGGAGGACTGTCTCCTGTGAGAGGGGGACCACAATGGAGCAGGGGGTAACAAGTTTTGGACACTCCCCTCACCGAAGATAAGGGAAGTGGCAGCGCTGACTGCACCCCCCATTCCCTGCCCCTGCGCCACTGGGGGAGGAGGTAGAGATATCGGGAGCAGAGCTGAGCCCGGGAAGAAGGGAGGGGTGGGGGGAAGGTGTTCTCAAGATGTGGCAATGCTTCTCACTGTGCTACTCTGTTACATGTTGTTAGTGTCTGTAATAAATGTATGTTCTTTTTTTCCTTCCCCTAACGAGTCTGCCTTTTGCTCATGACCATAAAGGGGAATTTTTCCTCATCCCAGTCCTATCTTGAACCCCAAGCCTGGCTCTCTGTCCCTTCTCATTGCCGGAGGGGAAGGGAGAGAGAGCTGTTGCGTTGGGGTTGGCTGCCAACCAGGCCCAAACCACGACAGAGAACAATCAGCCACTGGAGTAATCTCCTCAGGGAAGTGGTGGATTCCCCAACACTGGACACTTATAAGATTCAGCTGGACAAGGTGCTGGACCACCTTGTCTAGACCATGCTTTGACCGGGAAGGTTGGACCAGATGATCCTTGAGGTCCCTCCCAACCTGGTATTCTATGATTCTATGATTATGATGATTCTATGTGTATGCTTTTGAAGAGCTGGAAAAGGCAGCCTCTTGCTAACTTCATGCTTTGTTTTGTTTGTTTTCTTTTTTTTTTTTTTTTAGACTGTCTATGATGAGTGGTTCATTACACTTTACAATTTGGTATATACCTCCCTCCCAGTGCTAGGAATGAGCCTCTTTGATCAGGTACTGTTTCAATCACCCCTTGGATTTTTCATATGGGTTTTACCTCTAGGTTCTTTGAGCTGGTTCCATGAAGCAAAAGCAGCTGACTTTTTGGCTAGCTATTGTGGTAGTCCCTGAAATAGTTTCTTGCCAGTGAGACCTAAGAGCACAGTAAAAGGATGCACCAGGGAGGAGATGGTGTGCTATCCCTATTTGACCTGTGGGTTTCAGTGTGTGATGAGACTTTTGGGTTAGGCTGTTGACTACAGTAAAAGCTGCCATTGCAACACTCCCCTGAAGTCATCACATTGTACTAGCTGTGTTCCTGAAGCCTGACAAACAACTTTTTAACGACCACACAAAACAATGAACTAGATCTCTGAGGGCAGGTCTTCTAGGTTCAGCCTTTCTAGTAGAAATCTTTCTGCAGTAATTTCACATACACATTTCTACCTCATTATTACTGTTTGGCAAGACAGAGAATCAGTACAGCTATTCCTCTATGCCTTTTACAAATTAAAGAAGTAGAAACATGCTATTCTGCATTAGTTCACAGCACTCAGCTCTGGACACTTAAGGGATCCAAGTCAGACAGCCTTGACTTTGTGTGGACCCTGGGGAGGTATTTTCTATTACTTAGCTTCCAGGCAACTCTCTGGAGAGTAGACCATGCGGTCTGCTTAAGATAAAGTGCACCTTCATTTTTTTTTTGCAGCATTTAGCAGTTTTCTCAGCATAAGAAAGGTGAAATTCAACATGAAAAGTATGTCTAGGTGACCTTGGGATGTGGCATGCTCGTCAGTACAACTGAGTGAATTGTGTGCTAAGCCTTTTCTCATGGAAATGCATGTCACAGGGACATGTCAACCCTAACTGGTCTTATGTGGTTGGTTGGGTAGGTGCCAGCAAATCTGACCATCTTCTCTCTACTTTCAGGATGTGGATGATCGTTGGAGCATGCTATTTCCTCAGCTATATGTACCTGGCCAACAAAACCTCTATTTTAATAAAACGGTGTTTGTCAAGTGTATGTTGCAAGGGATCTACAGTTCCCTCATTCTCTTCTTCATCCCCTATGGGGCCATGTACAATACAATGAGAAGTGATGGGAAGGCCATTGCTGACTACCAGTCCTTTGCACTGATGGCCCAGACCTGCTTACTGATTGTGGTGTCTGTACAGGTAAGACATCTCAGGTAATGTTTTTAGGAATTAGTTGTTGTTTTATGAAGGCAGCATCTGGAGGGCTGCTTGGGATCTTGACAGCACTGTATTTGCTGATGCATCTTGCATTCTTGAAAAATAAAAATGTCTCTTGACACAAGATTACTCTCCTCAGTTCAACAGAACTACAGATTTGAATGTTATGAAAGATCAGAGTGACAGGAAAGCAGTCTTTGACTTGGGAAGTTTACAGTCATAGCAGACAAAGCATTTAAGGCTGGGACTATCAAAGGACTCGTTCCAGTTTTATGGGAAGGGTTTGAAGCATGGGACGGTCTGCTGTCAGGCAGTTATTTATAGGGTCTCCATCATTGGGCTGTCTCTGTAGTCTGACCCCACACATGATGCAGATAGTAGAACTGCACTTGCTGGAAGAAATAGTTGAGACTTGGATGGCACAAAATTCAGGTGGTACTAGCAGGATGAGAGAAATTTCTTAAAGAAAAGCAGACCAATCACACCTCCCTAGATAACGGTTTCTGCTGTCTGAGGTCTTGCAGGCTCCTTCTCCTAGCTTGCAATGCTAGGTAACATCTTGGGGGTGGAGACAGCAGTATGGCTCATTTGAATTTAGTATCCTGTCTCCAGTACTGGCCACTGGTGAATGCTTCATAAGAGCACAACATCAGGGCAAACATATCAGTGCTTTACTTTAAACGGTGTCCCAGCATCCTACAATCTGTGGCTTGGTATTTCTTGAGACTTGAATGAATAACAGTCTTGGTAGCAGGGGTACAAAGAAGAGGACAAGATCTTTAGCTGTGTTCAGCACAGATCTGCTAAATAATTAAAGCACTGACAACAGCTGTATTGCTCCATTCTTTCAGATTGGCTTGGACACCTCTTACTGGACAGTTGTGAACCAATTCTTCATCTGGGGCAGCCTTTCTGTTTACTTTGCTATCACCTTCACCATGTACAGTGATGGCATGTACCTGATCTTCACAGCCTCCTTTCCCTTCATTGGTAAGCCCTGGGACAAATCTGGATTTCACTCAAAATGGGAGTACTGTGGGGCTTAAATCTGCAGAGTATTTCTAGCACACGTTATTGCCTCTCTAGAAGCAATAACAGAATATACTGATTGCCTTTTTTACAAGAAATGCCAGGGTATTTCTGAGGGCTGCTGGGAATGCTTATTTTGAATCCCACCCATTCAGTTTAAAGTGTTCCAGTTCACTTCCTTGCATAAGAACGCACATTCACACGCAGCCACAGGACCGGTCTTTTAAATAAATGTACTGAGCTGACTGGAATGCTTTCTGCTGCTCTTTTACATCCAGGTGTCTAATTCTTACAGATATCTAGGAGCATTTTGTTTGCAGAAGAGTGCATGTTCTTTTGTAAGTAAGTTAACATGTTGGTATAGGAAAGCACAAAAGTACAACATCCAGTTAGACATGAGAAAAGTGCCATATGATTACGGTGAGCCTTCAGCCAGGTTAAATGCTAAATTCCTCCCTTTCCCCCCATGCCCCCACCCACCCCCCCCCCCCCAAAAAAAAAAAAATCCAGTGATGACCAGGTCTTTGGAATTACTCTACATAACAGATTCCTCAACACATGCAAAAAGCGAAGGATAACATAAAAATTAGTCTGTCTCCTGAAACTTTTAGCAGAAGGAAGATGAAATTTTATCAAATTCAGATGGTTTTAATAGCTCTGTTCACCCATAGCCAATATTGATACAGCATTGTTATGAGACTCTTCTGAAATCCCAGTGCTTTTTGCTTCAAGACTCAGGTTGGTGTAGAAACCAGTGCCTTTATTTCTGGATTAATTGTTAAGCCAAAACTTGTTATGCCCATCTTCACTGCAATGCCATGTGCTTGGACATTTTAGAAATATCTGAGATCCACGTCAGCTGTTGCAATGTATTTTCCAAGCTGATGGTCGCATCCACTGTAAAATGGCTTTTAGTATCAAAGTGCTGAGTGAGTGAAGACAGTGTGTCTGTTCAGTTTCCAAATACAGGTAGTAACTCACTTGTCAAGAACATCTCTATCTGATGCTCTGTTGATACTACGTAGGTCAAATTAGGCATAATGCTGAGCAACACTTAATAAGGTCTCAGTCTGAAACCATGTTAAGGAAAATGTTTCTAGTGTGGACTCAGATGACTTGTTTACTTTAATTTCAGTGGAGTTGTATTACAGCAGAATTTGGCCAACAGAAAACATTCAGCAACTTTACTGCCAACAACAGCATCATTAAGCCTTGTAATGAGCGTTTTGCAGACTGTTTGTTCTATCCTACATTCCTTCAGTTTTGGAGGAGCCAGAAGTGAGCACTTTGGTTTCAAAGAGGGTGGCAGTGTCACACCAGCGTATGGCAGTTGCTCTGCCAACACACCCATTAGGCCTCGTTGTCCATGCAGACACCCACAACAATGCATGCTCCTCTCATAAAGAGCTGTGATCCTACCATCTGCTGGGCAGAGTCAGTACTCCATATGCTTCAGGAAATGGTCCTGGAAAGTAACAAAATAGTGTTTCTCCTTTCGCACTGGACTCCTGGCATCAGGTGAGAGGGCTGAACTGCTGCTAAAGAATGTCTCCTGGACATGTATATCAATTCTTTGCAGTGATTTGACTCATGTCTTCAGAGATGAGCCATTCACTCTTGATATCCTTGTCTCTCTGAGTTGTTGCTGCAGTTGTGTCTGACGTTGCATTTCTCTTTGCTTGTCTCAGACAGTGATTTTGGTATTGCTGTCCTCTCTACACCAAGTTGATTTCACTGTTGGAGATAGTGACTGCTTTATATTTTGGTCTGTTCACCAAGTGCTTTGGAATCACAGAGAGTGAAAGGTTTGGGTGAATTATGGTGACAGGTACTGCTGTTACAGTTCTAATCATGCTTTTGTTTTTCAGGTACGGCTCGAAACACCCTCAGCCAACCAAATGTGTGGCTAGCAATCTTCCTCAGCATCACCCTCTGTGTGCTGCCTGTAGTTGGCTTTCGATTCCTGAAGGCTCAGTTAAAGCCAACTCCCAGTGATAAAGTAAGGAGATACCTTATTAAACCAGAAATCCTGCTTACTACCACCTAAGCTTACTGTAAAGCCATATTGCAGGGGCTTGGCATTGCTCAGAGTGTATGTCCCTGTAGAGGCAAATGCTGCCATCCATCTGTCCCCTAGTCCCTTGAGGAGGAGGACTGAATTTGGGTTTTGGCACAGTTCAAACCATCTGCAGCTGGGACCAAGGCTGAGATTATTTAGATTTGGATTAGATTGCACTGGAGCAACGAAGCTGCACTATTTTTAGGTGCAGGGTTTATGTGCTGTGGCTCGGTGGCAAAGGAATGGCATGCTCCTCCTGCCCTGCGCTCGTACAGTTTTTAGTCTGGCAGACCACAGCCCTTCACCCTCCACCCAGGCACCTGTGTTTGCTGGGCATTTTTTTACTTCGGAATTTACTTCATTTGTAGCCAATGGTTATATGCCCCTTCTGAAACCAGCTGCCCTCCGATGCCCAGGAATATGAAGATGAGGCCACTAAGGCAAGGAGAGGCTGGGAGAGATGGAGTGGGCAGGGAGTGCACAGCTCACTACAGCCAGTGGACCCCTCAAGAGGACCAGCACCAACACAGCTACCCCGGCTGGCATTCAAACAGGAGCATCTGCTAAATATTGCTGCCACCTGGTGCTTCCTTCCTCTTCCTGCACTGAGCTGTGAGACACCACTGGCTCTGAGCACAGCCCCAAGGGCATGCTCCTCAGTGGCTGCCCTGATCATCCTTGGGATGTCTGTGAAGCTCCTCAGGTGCTCCAGGACTGATGGAGAATGAGCGAAGGGGAATTCTGAGCCCTTGCAGAGGGGGTAGGTGGGTGCTGGAGAAGACTGGTAGGAAGTAAGGTCCTCAGGACACAGTGTGGGGTGTAAAAATGGGCCAAGTTTACCCTTCAGTTGAGTAGAAGTGCAACACAGCTGTAGCCCAGCCTCAGTGCCTGGGTTGAGCATCTCTCTCTAGTGCAAAATCACTTTACTTTTCTACCTCCTCTGGGAAGTGAATTTTCACAAGAGAGGGGAGTTTGGGTTTCCTGCTGTACTGATCCCCAGCTGGCAGTGTGAGAGGAACCTAAATACAGAAATGATGCTTAGAGACACCATGAGCCTACAGCTGCCACTGTCCCAAGCAGAAATGACAGGGGTCCGGCAGCTGGAGATTCTGCCGAGCCACTGGCACTCAGTACTGGCCTCCTGCCTTTGACAGCCCCTTTCTGAAAAGATACTTGTCCGCAGATGATCTGGGTGGCCGCGTGAGAGCAGAGAGCCCACTACCTGCAAACGAAGTGCATTATTTCATTCCCTTATGCTAAGGAATGTGAGAATTTATTGAGCACCATTCTCATCATAAAAAGTTTTTACACACTAGAGACCCCCTTTAGTAGCCTGTTTTCTAGATTAAGGAATGTTTTCGTATTTGTTTTCTGTACTTCTGACTATCGTTGAGATGACTTTCACGTTTTGGGTTATTTGACTGAAGCGCCTAAAAGGGCTGCAGTAATACCCTAACCGAGGCATCACAGAGCTGTGAGGATCAATACACTGACATTGTCCCCTACCATGACTTACAGATGACACTCCCATTAATGCCTTTTCGAATAAGATTGCCTTTTCCTTTTACTGGCCTGCCATCCAGCGCTGCCAGTTCAGTTCCTGCTCTGCAAGCGCTCCTGCCATCCCCCCTGTTTGCCAGTCATTTTTGGCTTTGCACCCCTGCTCCTGTTCCCTTTCTTTGCTCCTCTTTTACTGTGCTTGGGAATAATGATGCATTTCCCAATTTTTCATCTTATTTTCTGATTTCAGGTCCTGCTCAAAATCAAAGAAGCCAAAAAGCGGCCACCCCCACCCTCACCCAAGAGACGCCTGCGTCGGACCAGCACCCGCCGCTCCGGCTATGCTTTTTCCCATCAGCATGGCTTTGGAGCACTCATTATGTCTGGGAGAAACATGCGGCCAAAATCACCTTTTGCCACAACAGGAACATTTTCACCAAACAGTGACAAACATAAACACAAAGGACTGTAAAAAAAAAAAAAAAACAAAAAACACCAAAAAAACCCACAAACACAAAACAAAACAAAAAAACCTAAACCACAACAACAAAAGACAAAAAAATCAACAAAACAAACCAAAGTAAAGGTCTATCAGGAGACAAGGCTGTGCTCCCTGCCAAGCACTAAGCCAGTGGCTGCCCAGAGCTCTGCCCTCTGGGCTACTGAATCAAGGACTTGGGCCTTTCCTTTCATCCACATGCACCCTCTCACTCCAGTTTCTCTTCTGAAGATGTGAGCTGCTGCCGGGAAAGGTGGACAGGGTGAATTAGAGCTGTTGTGTGGTATTCTAGAGGGCCTCCCTGGAACAAGAGAGAACATGGTGCGGGAGGCATCTCCACTCCCTGAGATTGTTCATAACGCTATTTTTTTTCTTCTCTCTTTAACTACATACCTCAGAGCAAAGAGAAGTCCGGGCTGAGGCAAAGGCTGAATTGGCAATGTCTTTCTCATTCACATGCTTTTGTTTATGTCGTTAATCCACTCTGGGCTGTATTACTTGGGTGTCAGTATTGACCCCAGGTGTGCCTTAGGTCCAGCCACACAACCCCCAATTCTCTAATCTTTGTAATATGTGTAATTTTGTAGCTTTTTGACTGTACACAGGCACTTTGGAAGGCATGAGTTGGAAATAACCTCCTTCCAAACTAACGGTTAATCCAGTTTCTCAAGAGATGGCCAGTGCCCAAACACCACCCTCTTCCTGCATCTTCAGTCGGGAAGTGCTGCAAGCTCAGAGAAACCCTTAGTCGGTCAAGGGACACGGACTTGACGTTCATCAGCCTACTCTGTATTATCTGCATTGCAAATCTGCTTTTGTAAAAGATCATTGTCCGCAGAGCCCTCCTAAGGTTTTTTAGCTGGTCATCACCCATTTCATTTAGACTTAAAAGGGCAAAAGAAGACTAAGCTCCTGTATACAAAATCTGGCCCTGAGAAGCCGGTGTCGTGGTTAGGGCTCCCCCGAACTGCCAGCACCAGGTGTCTGTCCCACCATAACAGACCAAGGCACACACACAGCTGACCCGAGGGAGATCACACCAGCCGTATCGGAGGCAGAGATGCTATTTCACAGCTAGTGCAAGGTGTCCGGCCCTTTACTCCACCGCTGCTCTTGCTCAGTGTGAGGGGTGAGGCGTGACCCGGCGGCTCCCCCACCCTCCCTGATGAGCGGTGTGGTCAAGTTTTAGAGGGTCTTAGTGAGGGGCTCAGGAGCTTCTTCTGCAGAGTTTCTCTGTGCTGGCTAATATTTAGTTTGGGAACAGTTCAGCTGTCAATCATGAGTTGCAGAGAGCTGAAAATCCTACCAGTCTGGCTGCCAGCAGAGGGACCTAAAATGCACAGGCACCACCAAAGACACAGGGATCCTGAGGGACTGGGATTTGCTCACTGTTTTGTTATACCAGCTCTATGATCAGCCCGGTTACTGGGTGGAAGGCCAGCGTGGCAGCGTGAGTCTGTCCTGCCAGCACTGCTGACCTGTCTAAATGGAACTTTTTTGTGCAGAAGACTAAGCAGCACTGGCTCTTTTTCTTTTTTTTTTTTTTTTTTTTTTTTTTGAGCCTTTATACCAATTTAGACTCCTTCCTTCTTTTGAATTGGATTTTTTTTGCATAGTAACCATCTGGTATTTATTGGGAACTCTCTGCCTCAAGTCTCTGAGCTATCAGTGGAGGCAATGTAAAAAGTCAACAGGCCAGCCATGTCCCCATTTCATCCAGTCTGTGCATAACACCTCGCTGCCTGTGGTCCCAGTTTCAGCAATTACTATGTTAAGATTGTTTAAATTCTAATAGAAAGTTTCATCTCCCTTGGTTTAACCCCACACAGAAAAAAAACCAGTCTGTTGCACCTGCTGTTTTGGGAGGCTCATTGCAAATGTGGTATTAAATTTCAACATAGCCAGTGCAAAACTAGAGCTGGGACTGCATCCAGACTTAAGTGGCCAGGAGCTGCTGGCTAGGGAAGGAGCAGATTCTCATCTGGTGATCTCCCCTGCAAGGAGATAACTAAACTGAGAGCCTGCACCCTGACTGGGGAAAGCACTGTAATAGTTACTGCTTGTCACAGCCCTCTGATTAACCATTCACTTTGCAGAGACAATCATGGCTTTCTGATGAGGATTATGTCTTTCACTGCTGGCCTCCCTAGGGCTAGAGGAAAACGGAGGATTTATGGAGGTAAGCAGACTTCCCCACACTACCCAGACTGGTCTGAGGACCGAGAGTCTTGTCAAAGCTCTTCCTAACGTGTAATGCAGCAGGATAGAACAGAGAGCAGCAGAGGCAGGCCTGACAGAGCAAGGCAACTCCTGAGACGGTGTCACTCTTCATATCATTTATGTGCAAAGCACTCACCTTCTGGCTGAAGGGGATTTGCAAATGCTGCATAGCACGTGCAGGGGATAACAGAGCTGTTGGTGACTTTGCACCAGATACCAATATTTCAGTGGTTTGACAAGATCAGCATTTGAAACATATCAGTTGGCAGTGATGTCTGTCCTACATCACTCCCGATTTCGTAATTTTTTTTTTTTTTTTTTTAATAAAAATATTGGGATGACTGTTTTTTTGCCAGTCTGCTAATTGATCAAAGGAGTTTGTAACCAGATGTGTTATGTTGGTCCTGGATCTCCTAAAGCAGAAGGACGGTCTGTGGGAGGCTGCGTCTGTGACGGTAACGCTTTGCATGCCTCATCCGGATTTGGAAAAAAAATCGAATTCCCCAACTTTGGATCCTAGCGGGGCTGTTTTAAGAAGAGACTTAGGAGGAAACGTCAGACATGATTAAAAGGACGACGCCAACTCCGGGGGGGGGGTGGGGGGGGGGGCGGGCAGAGCCGAGATCCCGCCCCGCCGCCCGGCTGTAAACAGGGGAGCAGCCGGTAAGAGGCGACGGGGGGGGGGGCGATGTCCGTGAGCGGAGCGGGGGGCAGCTGTATTGGGGAGGGGTGTCGGGGTGTCGGTGTGCCCTGCGGGTGCGTGTGCGTGTGCGTCAGACCTCCTGTCATCGGCTGTGCAATGGCTGAACATCATCATTCAGTCTTTTACGAAGCTCTTGTGTTTGATAGATATATCAAAAGTTAATCCCCGAAATGTGGTTCCCCCCCCCCCGCACCCCCACCCCCCGCCTCCTTTTTCCTCATTATTCCATAGTATAAAGGCTCATGGTTTGAACACTGCGTTCTGCTAAGGCACCTAAATACTCGCCAGCCAACTGGTCAGCAGTTTCAGGATGAAGAATAATAATGCTTTGATGATAACTGGTGATGATATAGTTACTTTTCTTACACTGCAGCAGAGGAGGGTTTAGAGCATCTTCTCTCTCCCCTGAATCCAACAGGGTGACACAAAGCGACCTCTGGTGTGGGGCACCAGGTGCTTTTGGGCAGAGGCAGCTCAAGGTGCCTTAGGGCAGAGGCACCTCCAGGGGTTTTTGGATGGCCAACTGCAACACCTGCACGCCTGCCAGGCTGCCTGTAGGCTCTCACTTTATCGGCGTGCATCCACACAACTCTCTTCCACTGACCTGTAGCCTGGAAGTCATCACTCATGGGCAGCTCTCACGGAACGGGAGGGCAGAGGATCACCGCGTGCTTGCCCTAGGTTCTCCAACTGGAGCGATCCTCAACAAGGTCTGTTGTAAGAAAGAAGCTGTGTGAATAATGACCCATGCTAATTACCAGCTGGGAACAAAAACAGGAGCATAAGGGACGGCTTGGATATCTCTGGGCAGAGACACTGTGTTCTATAACCCCATCAGACCACTAATAAAACTTCATCCTAAAACCAGCCATTCCAACTGGAAAGCTTCCTGTTCTGATCGTTGATTTTCTCTCCCTCTAATTTTCAAGCAAAATGTGTTCACAGTGCATTTTTCTCCTGTTGTAGTGCCAGCATTATCCTTTTGCTTCAGCAGTTTTGTTTGTCTCCTGTGATATATTTAGAGAGCAATCCTATCCGCTCTCTGCCTACATTTGGCTAGGCTAAACAAGACAGGCTCTTAAGTTTCTTCTTGTTTGATAGGTTTTCTGTTTCCCCCAGGCCCTTTCTGCACCTGTTCATTTGTGTTTATCATTTTTAAATGCAAGTAACCAGAAATTTTTTTGTATGATGCTCCTGTCACCACTGCCTGTCTGATAGCACGGGTATTACACTGCCTTGTCTAGCCTGCACTTGCTTTTCTTATGGCCTCATGATCTCTGTGATCCCTAATGCAATGCAGCTTTAGTGGTTATTTTCCTAACTCTACTGTGACTATGCACAATTGTTAGCTAAATTGTGTTAGCTAAATAAATAGCGCTCATTTCCATCTCATGCCTGATAACATGGGGAGGAGCTGAAGTCATCATAGCATAATTCTGTGCATGTTGATGCTTTAAACTGATGTCTTTTCCTCAGGGGCAAGTTTTTTTCTGTGAGGGCTGGCAAGAGCTTTTTACTACATCTACTTATGTGTTTGCCGATGTAAATATGCTGGAGTGAGGGAGCTGTCATTCCTCCTAGCAAATTGAGTTCCAAGCCTCAGCTCCCTGTCCAGGAGCTACTTCTAGCCCTGTCCCCATGGCGGGACTGGGTTGCTGCAGGGTGGACATGATGCAGGGCTCAGAATAAGGGCACAGAGCCCTGCAGCCTGCGAGTGCTTCTGGACGTTGCTGCAGCTCAGCTGCTCTTCAGTTTTTCCAGGGCTAGTCTTCTGCTGCCCTACTTTTTATAATTCACTCATCAGAAGTAGAGAGTGTTTTTCTCTGCCTGGCACTGTGGAGCAACAACCTCTCTCCCGTTGCTCCCAGCTTGAAGGGAAGTGGTTTTTGTACCCCCCATCCCTTTCCTCAGCCTGTCTCTCCTCCTGGGTGGAGCTGGCTGTACTGGGCTGTCAGCTCCCTGCCTTTCTGCACAATGCTGAGCCCTCTGCCAGACTTTTCAGCTATAAATGGATCTGGCCTTTTCCAGCCCCCCCCCTCTGCTGACACCAAGAGATGTTGTGGGAAATCGGAGCTGGGCCAGGCTTCCTCTGAATTAGAAAAACATACGATCCAACCACTGGCTTTTCGTAGGTTCTCTGGAAGCATCGTGCCTGGCTTTTGGGGGAGCTGTCTGTGCCCCAGTGAGGGCTGTGCTGCTGAATTGCTTGTTTGCGTTGCGACAGCAGTTAGTCCCAGACCTGAGGGCAAAGCTGGGGCAGACCTATAGGTGCTATCTCCAGCCCCATGCATCATCCTACAAACAAAGCCCCATCCGATCTGAGCGGTGTGTCTCAAGGGAATGTCCATGTTTTTGTTACTGACTGCATCCTGCTTCCACATCCGTATTAGGCACTTAATAAAAGGAGCCTGGCTTTTGTACATAATGAAGAACACTGTTTGCCTCCCTTAACTTTGGTATTTAGGTGTTGGGATCTTTTAAGCTTTTTTGCATTCTCCCTCCCATGAGAGGCAGGGAGGGTCAGTATCTTCTTCAGCAGAGATCTAGGGCCTGAACTATGCAGACCAAGGTGACTCAGGGAGTCAGTAGCTGCCCTGAATTTCAAACCGAAGTCTTTTGTGTCATCTGAAGTAGAGTGCTACCTTCCATCAGCCCTGCAGGCATCCAGACCATTCATTCCATGTAGAGTACAGGTCTGTATTTAGAAAACTAATTTGTACTCTCATGCTGAAAAATTGTAGTCTGAAAGTCTGATGTGCTTCATAGAAGCTGCCAGGCCAGGTTCCAGTGTGGTGACCTTTTGCTGGCAGAGGTGGATTTGCATCCTTTGGACTTAGATAGCAACACCTAGAGCAGCTGCTTTAGAGGCTTCCTTGCCTCATGTTAATCATACCTCAGAAACCTTCCAGCTGTGGATAAGGGAACACAGAATATTCAAAAGGTACAAGCTTTGTTTATGGTTGCCTAGTATTCTGCCTGCAGTTCTGCTTCTAGTTCAGTTTTTGCTGTGGCAGCAGATGCTGTCTGACACTTTTTCCTTTGCAGGATGCCTGGTATTCTGAGTATCTACTCAATAGTTCGTGTTGCTTTTTGGATGGGTTGGTGGAGCTGTTGACTGGGCAGTGTTCGATGAGCAATGTGCAGGAATACATCTGTTCTCTTTTTATGTGAGCTGGAGAAAGTAATATCCCAGACCAGGATATTACATAGGGGTTATGGTTCACCAAAACCTCCTTTTTGCCTTTCTGCTGGGATTGCAGGCAATATTTTGCATGAAACAGATGAGGGATAGATGAAGTGCCTCCATCATCCTTCCCCACGCCATCAGGCTGCTTTGTGGCAAGCGTACCTTTGGGCTCTGGGAATAAATGAAATTAAGATATTGTATGTAGTTGTAGCTGCCTGATGCTCTTTCTTATGGTAAGCTCTGCTGAAGCTGGGGCAGGCATCTGATCCTGCTGGTTTGCCAGCTCAACTTGGAGTGCTTCAGGGTAAACTTGGCTGGGAGGAGTTCTTCTGCTTGCTGTATCCATCCCAGATGTTCAGGGAGGCTGGTTACTCCAATTCTGCTTGGTCTTACACAATCTGCCTTCTACTGAACACTTAATTCCCAGCTCTTCACCAAAGCCCTGGACACATAGCACGGTTTGTTGGCTATGGTCTGTGTTCCTCTGATTCTGAAACGTGAAGCCTGGTTGGGGTTTTGATTATGATATCTGCTGCTCATCTGAAGTCCACAGTTTCTCCTCCTCCTCTTCCCATTCTTGTGTGTGCTTGCCTGGACTGGGAATATCATTGTGCCTGGGGTGGTTATTCACTGAGCATCTTTGTAGCCCTTGAGCCTTGCCCTGGACTCTGCAATTCCAACTGACTCTTCAGAGGAGCTGGGGGTGGGAGTGTGTCCCCGCCACACTGACAAGTTCTTGTAGGGATCCTTGGCAGAATGATGACAGCACTAAATCATAGTTGCAATTAAAGCTTTATTTTCTTAACAGGTTCCTGGCACCCAAGAACCTTAAGGCTGGTAGGGAGGGAAAGAAGAAATCTTTTTGGGTTGTCTGCCTGGTGCACAGGACCTTCAGGGCCTGATAATGAGGGGAAGAGAAGGAATATGTGGCCTGCACATATTGCCTTCTTTAGTTTTAGAAATGCCATTCATTTAGAGAATGGCTGCTTACCTCGTAAAATGGCATTAGCTGTGCTAACCATGTTGCCAGGGGGATTGGGAGCAGGGAGAACTGGTCACAGGGTCCCCCTCAGGACTGCTCCTGTCTGAACAATCTCCACATGGACACCTCTTGGGCTGCTATCACAAATGTCCTCCTGACATCAGTATCTGTCTGGCACAACTTCTAAAGGCTGCTGTTGGTGGACACTGCTTAGGATGCTCTCCACCTCTCTGCTAGTCAAATTGATTTGCAGAAAATTATGCTCTACAGTGGTGGTGTCTCTTGGGCAACTTGTTTATGTCCTTCATGAGAAGAACTTCTTCTTGGTTGATTTCACAATGGCTGGTTCAAACCGCACCAGGATCCTTCACAAGTGTCAGGGCAAGACACCAGTTCAGACAGCAGTGTGTGAGTGCAAATTTGTTCTGCTGGTAATCTCATTCCAGCAGTGGGATGTGGCATGTGGCCATCCTA